CATGGACTTTGCTCATTTGCATTCTCTGACTTTATTCTTATCTCCTGCCACCTGATTATTTTTGCTCAGTAAGTCTTTCTCCTAGTGTTTACTACAGGTTCACTCATCCACTGGAATTCCCCCCCATCCCCCCTTTATCATATCTGTATATAGTATTGTATTTGTATTTAAAAAGAAAAATGCCCTTTTAAAACTTTCATAAAGGCTTTGATTCTGAATGTCCATTTAGTGCAGCAGAAGAGGAGAAAATCGTGTTATTTTCTGCTTTCCCCCAGAATGTGAAAGTTCATGGTATTTATTCAAGCTGCTGCCAGCAGTGAATGACTGACTCCCTTCAGGCTGCTGATGCTGCCCTCGGTGCAACTCCCTGCTCCCAATTTTGGGATTGCTGTGGCCCTGCTGCATGGAGAGCTGTGCAAGCTGTCTGCAGGGGCCATGAAAGCCCTCAGTCCCAGTGATTTCCAGCGTCAGGCGGATGTGTGTGATAACTGTAACCAAGCTTTTAGTATCACTATTACTCCTCCGCTGTGGTCTCCTTAACCTCAAAAGGAAACAAATGTTTCATAACCTGCTGCGGAGACTGCTTCAGTTTCTCCTCTGTGGCTGCCAGCTCCAAAAGCTAATGACAGACATTATAGATAATCTTTCAGACTTTGACTATGGCTGTGATGTGAGTCATGACTGAAAGCTTAGTAAAGCTATAGCTCACTGTCATCATTGTTAAATAGAGGCAGTTTGTGCTGTAGTGGAATTGCTGCGCTTGTGGAGTCATTCTGTAGCTTTTGGCCACACGTGACTGCAAACACGTGTTTATGCTGAGCAACGTGTCCTGCAGCTCAGGGACAGAGCACTCTGCAGTGCTCCTGTCTCAGAACTGGATTTGAGTTATGGCAGAAGCCACATGAACTTAACAAAATCTTTTCCACTTTATCATCAGTAGGACAGAAACATGACAAACTGAGATTCATTCCTTGTAGATTTGAATTGTTGTGAAAAGTAGAACAACAGAGCAATGTATCTTACAGTGACTCTTGAGTTCATATCATTAAATAGGCTGAATCCATCAGAACAGCTTTTTTTTTTTTTTTAAATACCAGGTTTGTATTTTAAAACTATTGATGCTATTTTAGTTCTGATTGCTTAATAGTGTATTTGAATATGATGATACTGAGCTCACAGCCCACAACAAGCAGAATTTTTTTCATATGTATACTTTCTGTAGGGTCTGTCATTATACGGCAAGTTCATAGCTTCAGAGAATTTAGTTGGGTGTTTTTCCTTCTCCCACTTTCCCCTGCAGCAGTTGCCATAACCATTTTGCTTTCAGGCTTTCATCTCAACACTTCTGTGACAGACGTAGTAAATGAGCAATGAGAAGTGTGCACCTGCAGAGTCATTTATTTATAATCCAGTAATTTGTCTGTGTAAGGTGACTGACACCAGCTTCCCAACCTGTGGCATCACACTCCAGTTTTGTTCCAGTTGCATATCTCAGCGTTTAGACTTATTTCAGCATTCATGATCTTTCAGTAACTGAGAGCTCTTTTTTGTGCACAAACTCACTAATATCTGAAATGTCTCTTCTTGGGAGTTTCTTAACCTCCAAGTTCAAAAGACTGTAAACTCTTCAAGATGTATTTTTCATTTGTGACACAGTGCCATGGACAGAGAGAAAATGGTATGTGATGTTAAATATTTCGGAAGAAATTGTCATCACTATTTTTCATGTTGCCTTGCATTCCTTTTTGTAACAAAACAATAGCTACAAAAGTTTGTGTTGCATTTTGGAGAGGTGGAAAATAAGTGCTTAGAAAACAGTCTTGCAGGGTCTACAGTTTTGCTATTGAAAGTTGTATTCATTTAATATTGCAATAATGTATTTAAGGAGTTAAAAATATTTCCTATTCCTAAAGTAATTTTGTTGTGATACTTCCTTAATTGGTGTGGTTTATGTTAACTTTCAGTTGATTCATGGACTGCATTTCACATTTATTCCAGGGATATGATTAAAACTGGGTATTCTGATGTGGGAATGGACAGATGACATGACTGGAGTGATGTTGACACACTGTGGTTTAAGCTGCATTAAAGACAGCAGTGTGTTAAGTAATATGTTTGGTAGGAAGGTTTTCCTGGCCAGTGTGGACAGGTATTTTTTCTCTTTCTTAACCCCATCATGTATAATTTGAGTAAGTCTTCGGCATTGCCTCTACTTGAGGCAAAGGAACACGTTTCTTAATTAAACCTTGGTGTGATTTTACAGTTCTTTCCTATGAGCTCTTAAGGACAAGAAAAAAGAAAAAAACAACCACAAATTACTGTTTTTCAATGCCCTAGTAGAAAATGTATTTTGTTATACTGCCTGCTAGTACATCTGTTGAAGAGGGATTGTGTTTTGTTTGTGTAAAGGATTAGTTGAATTTTATTAGCATCTAAAATGCTTCCTTTGTTCATAGTAGCCAAAAGCATTGACTGGTGTTATCTGGTTTCCATATTGAAAGCTGTATCACAAACTTTGTGTCCATCTATGTCAGAAGAAGCAGCAGGGGCATTCATCATGGTTCATTTGTCTTATCACTAAAGAGTATCTCTCAGAAGCCATCTCTGTTTAAGTTGATTGCTGTTTCTGTGACCTCTAACTCCTCATACTTTCAGAGAATGTAGAGCAGTATCTCATAGAAAGCTCTTTATTTTCTTAGTTAAGGACAGTTCTTTCCCCATGAAACACGATGTCAATATTTATAATCCCTGTTAAAAGATAGCATTGGATATCCTTTTGGTGAAGAACAGAACTATTCCTCAGGTGTTTGCTTCAGTTTGTTTCCAGATACTAAGTTGCACTGATAATAACTTTAGGAAGAAAAATAATTTTTAAAAATTGTATTAGTTTAGTGTAAACAATTGTTGCATTTTGAGAACATGCTGTATGCTTCTGGGATGCAGTGACCCAGATGACAGCTTTCTGTTTAGATAAGCACGTGCTGTTAAAAGGTTAAAAAAGCAGGGAGGGAGGAAGGATGTTGAAATGAAATTGGAGATCTTTCCTTCTCACTCTTGATTTTTGTCATTTTCCTGCTGTTAAGTTGCAGGAGTTCAAACCTGACCCCCCATAATTTTGTTGTAATAAATCTTGCTGCTGACTTGCTGTTCTGCTGCAGCATTGCCAGTGCTGATTGCTGCTGAGGGGGCCCTGAAGCTCTACCACACCCCAGCCAATCTTCTGCAGACCTTCCTACAAAGCCAAAACTTCAAGTCACACTTGATTTTGCTTTGTTTCTAAAGCTGAGAATTTAGAAAAGTGCACGTGGGTGCTGCAGCGTGTGTATAAATGCCCAAAAGCCGTGTGTGAGCATTAAGTTCATGATGTAGCGTAGCTCTAATCCAGGAGTAAGTCTCTAACCTGAGCTGTTTCTGTCGTGCTGAGGGCAGAGGTTACTACTTGTGAGGATTTACTAGGAGAGTAAACAATCAGAATAGAAGTGCCGGGTGTGAAAGTATCTTCCTGTGTGCTGTGAATTGGAATGAGGCTGCAAACGCGTGCTGTGCTCTGAGGAGAGGCAGGACTCTGAAGCACCTGGTGACTGATGCTGCACTTCTCCCGTGGCTTAACCTACCTTTGGTGGGAGCTTCCTGGCTTTTAAAAGACTCGTGAGATGACCACACACGATCGGGAGGTGCTGTCGTCTCCTGTGTTTGTCTCTTTTGCCCAGGAGAGGCTCGGCTGCGGTGCGGTAGAAGACAAGTGTCCGTGCCGGTTGGCAGCTGCTGCGGGGCCCGGGCCGCGGGCCCGTCCCGGCGTGCCCGGCACTGCGCGGAGCCGCTGCGGGCTCGCGGGGCCGGGGCCGAGGGCAGCTCTGTCCAGGGTGCTGACGGCCAGGGCACGGCCGGGCGGCTGTGCTGCAGCTGGGCTCGGGCCGTGGCCCCTGGCAGCGCTTCCCAGCCTGGGACACAGCTTACCTGCAGCCCCGGCAGTGCGCACGCTCCGTAGCTTGTGTGTAGCTTTTGGGTATAAAACCACTCCTGGTTACACAGATCAGTGACCTTGGGGCTCTTGAGGCGTAGTAGAATATATAAATTAATAGCATGACTTGTACAGCAATGAGAAACTCATCAGACCCTTTAAATTAGAGTGTTTTTTAAGTAGTGCTTGTCCTTGAGATGGTTGCAAGGGCTTATAGGTTTTACAGTTTGATGATAAAACCCAGTTTAGTTTGTCCAAGAATATATCACTTTTTCTGGAATCGTGCTCAAACTATCCACTGGCTTTTGGTGTGGAAACAATGGAAGGAGGTGTTGTTCAGTTGTTGGAGGAATCAGAAAGGTGCTTGTTCAATCAAAGCAGTGCATCTTAGAAATAGTGGGGTTTCAGTTCAAGTTGTCTCATATCTCTTGGTTTAGTGGCATTTACATATGTAATGGCCACTGGAGCAAAACTTAATGGCAGTGATGGTTAGAAACTGGAAAACATTATATCTAAAATGTTCCTTAATCCTAAAATATTTCCTTTCCAATTTTCCACAAGTAAGATTTAAATCTTACCATTACATTTGATTAGAGGTTCAGGTTTTTCCTTTTAAAAACAGTAACACTGAAGAAGTCTTAACATAACTTATTAGTTTAGAAAGTCTGCTATTAGAAACTTGAACTTGTGTAAAAATTTCTTGCATTATAAGAATGCAAGAAAAAGTAAAGAAAAAGTTCTTATTTAATGGGACTTAATTATGAGATGCTGATTTTAAGGCCATTTGTAAACTTAAAAGTCAGTTTATGTTCTTTGTATCTGTATTCCACATTGATGTGGACCTTTTTCTTCATCCATAAAGATTCACCTATATGGGGAATTTTCATTAGACACATACCAGTACAACTGTTGAGCAATAACTTAATTAAATACTGTTTTGCATGAGCATGCACCATTCATCTATCTCATAAACACAACCTGAGACAAAAAGGTTCATTTATTATTATTATTAACTTTTACATACTTTTTTTGGTCTTAGCTGGAGATACAGATGATCCTCCAAGAATCACTCAAAATCCTGTCATTAATGGGAATGTAGCGATGGCTGATGGACATAACAACACCGAGGAAGACATGGAAGATGGTAAGTAAATATTTGATAACCTCATGGTTTGTGCAGCTTCTTTAGTTTTATGATTTTGAGGCAAAAATGGTCCATCTCTTGCCTATATCGTGTGATCTTCAGCTCATTAAAAAAATGAATCCCTCTGTAGTTATGGCTGCTGGTTTTCTGTTAAGGCATCCTTTTGACATAGCTGTACAATAGGATTAGACATCTGAAGGCTTGGGATTTTTTTCTTGTACTCTTTTCAGGTACTCATTTAAAAATTGCTGAAAGTGCTACTGTCCATTGTTATGTTTTGTGGTACAGCCCTTTAAAGGTGCTGCAGCTGGGCTTTGCTGAATAGTAATTTTATCAGTTATGCAATTCCTTCAGGGTGTTTAGAATCCTGATCTGTCCTGCTCTCTTGTCAGGTGGCAGCTGTGCTCTGGTTTTGTCTTTGTGTGGTAAGTCAGTGGTAACTATTCTGTTGATGAACACCTTTTGTTAGTTCTGATGCCTAATTTCATTTGCAAAAGCAAAGGAAAAAAATATGTATTAATGTCTTGTTAATAAAAGAGGACTTGTGGGTTTTATTAAGTCTTTTTTTTTGGTCCATTAAATGAAAATAAGGGTGTACACTTCGTAGCAAAAGATCATATAATTATAATGGGGTATATTTAAAGAAAGGTAACAAGTTTCTAAATCTGTTATGTTTAGTGAGGAAAATGTGCAATGATACTTCTTTTCTTAGGAAAGGATATGGGCAGGGACTGCTCGTTTTGCAGAATGAACTGAAATTGAGTTTGGGGAAGGGAAACATCGCATGAGTGAGATTTGTTCCATATTCTATGCTGTCTTGTGAGAGTACATTTAGGACTAGGCTTAAACATTTAGTTAAATTTGTGCAAAAATGTTGAGTGATTTTTTTCCAGGAAAATCATAGTTTGAGGTTAAAGGTCAAAAAAGTGCTTACTTTCATGTGTTCAAGGAACATGGAATACTGATAGAAAATAGTAATGTTCCATGAAGAGAATAGGGTTTAAATTTAGAACAAAAGCATCTCATAGCTGAATCACCTTTGTATCATTGGCAAAGATAAAGTTTTCTGTGACCAGAGTCTTGCAATGGAAGAAAAATGCAGTCTTCTTAGCCTATGAATTTTTGTGTGATTACCTAATCTCATTCAGAGGGTTTTGATTTATTGCTCAGAGTAAATAGGTGAGACTGAAACAGGGAATTCTTATCGAAAGCTGTTGTAAAGGATGTTAAATGTCTGTCAGGCCATGGAGTTTAGAGGGTTGCAAGAGAAGACCACATGGGTGGACACCAGCTGGCTAGAACTGATGTGTTTAAGTTCTGTTCTTGGTAGGGATGTTTATTTGTAGAAAACCTGGTAGTGTTTGGTGTTGATACAACCGGTACATAACACATTGGTGGAATTGGAGGAAAATCATTTGTCCACTAGTTGGTCTGCATATACTTGTACAAATGAGCCAAAATAGGGACTTAAACTGCAGAAATAACTGATGAAAGCCAGGCTATATAAGGGCTGGCAAGTAACCAGATATTCATCTCTTCATTCAGAGTAACATTGACCCTTTAACCAAAAAACTACTGTGAACCTGTTTGTGTCAATTCCCAGTTGCTTGACTCCTCTCAGAACTTCATATTGCACTAGGGAGAAGTGTATGAAGGTGTTTGACAGAAGGCTTGTGAAAACTTCTCATGCTTTTATGGACTTTAAATGTGTTCAGGGGCTTGGGCCCACTCTGCAGTGGGACATCCTTCAGGGTTTAAGTGTGATTATTAAGCAATACTCTTAATAGTTCCTCATTATCATATTTGAATAAGGAGTGTCTGGCTACATGTTGGTGCTGCTACAGCTGTGCATTGACACAGATAGAAAAGAGTGTTATTGCAAAATGTTAGAGTTGCAAAAACATTCCTGAAGACTGGCATCACTAAGAGGATGGTGCCTCTTTTCCAAGTCCCGTAAATCAGATTAGTTGCTTGCTGTTGCATTATTTACACATCAGTGCAGTTGCTCTCTTGCTGTTTTTGCTCTTGCTAACCTGGTTTGCAGCATGATATGCATGGGTAATGGACAGCTCAGAGATTCCAAAGACAGGGAAAATGGGAGATATGGGCTTCTCTGATAAACATGCAGTTTTTCTTTGCAGTTACTCATAGCAAGGGGCATCAATCTGAGCTGATACAGGATGCATGAGGAGAATTCAGATACCTTTTCAGCGAAATTAATGAGTTTAATGGTTCCTGTGAGAGAGGTGAACAGTAGGATGAAGGGATGATGCTTCCAGCTGGATCATAGAAATCAGCTTTCTGGTGATTTTCTGAGTTCAAGAAACTTTTGAGGTGATTTTGTTCTTCCAGCTTAGCACATAAAGAAATCACTGATAAGATTGGGGGGAAAAAAAAAAGTGCAGCTCTCATCCCCTTTGCTAGGCAACAGGCTGCAGGCATTGTGAGGCACAGGGAACGGGAGCAGCAGTGCACCACCAGCAGGACTTTCAGATAAGGCTGTGTTCTCTCAAGCGCTGTGACCAGTACCTGTTGCTGCTCTGTGTGAAGTCTTAGCAATTAAAAAGAACCAGCTGAAGGACTGTGCTGTGCTTTGTATGGAGAATGACTTAAATGAACCAGACTTTAAAAGCTGGAATAGCAGGCTCTGCAAATAAAGTGAAAAATAATAAAAACAAGGCTCTGATCAAAACTTGTTTGCAAGTGCATCAGTATTCAAAGCAACACATAGAATAAATTCTGTTAGAAGTTAAAGTTCAAACAGAAGGTCCCTAGCTGAACATAAACTCACAGCTTTGCTATTACCTCCTGAAGTCTCATTTCTATGAAGAATTGCAAAGGCAAGAAGCCTTTCAAAAGCATCAGTCTTAGCCATATGCTGGTATTGCATGCTGTATTTGGATCATTATTAAAATATTCATAGAATATTCAGCCAGTTTCTTCATTAATAATTCAGGTTCAGAATATTTTAATAACTCCAGTGCACTTTCAAGGTAGCAACGTTTACTAAGAGAATAAAGAAATCTGCTTTTCCCAAAAGCATCAACATTTAAATATGTGTTTCAGCCTTAAAATGGATCATATTCAGTATTTGGATCTCTGATTTGAAGAATCTTTCTTCTGTGAAGATGCTGAATGTGGCATTCATCACATCAATGAAAAAATGTTTTCCACGTAGCAAAGACAGTCCATTGCATGTAATTTCTCTAAGTATTGTCAGTCCTTTTTACCTTGTGTTCAATTTGCAGTTTTGGGATTTAGAAAAGTCTCACTTGCCAGTTACTACTAAATTCTCCTGCTGCCAGTTGCAGTCTTTAACTGGCATCTGGAGGACATGTTCATGATGGCAAAAAAAAATGCTTAATTTATTGATGTACTCAAAATAATTGTCACATTCGCTATGTAAACTTATTTTTCTAATAAAATTAATCCTTTAATCCATTGTACTTTCTAAGGAAAAATGGGCTTGCTGGAAAGAAAGGAAGGTTGTTATTTTTAAAGAAACTTCTATTTTAGGGTTGACCTGTGTTACAAGGCTGCATTTTTATGGAGCAGTTAGTAGAGCTTGCTCATATATTTTACAGAGAAGAGTTCCCATTCCCTGATGAGCTCTCATGCACAGGCTTTCCTGAAAAGAAATCAAGAAATACAGGCAAACTTTCTCTGAAGCATCTGCAGATGCTGCGTGGGCTGCATTTTTTAGCTGACACTGTAGCAGCACTGCTGCATCCTTGTGCTGAAGTGCTCTGAAAGCTGCATCAAAGGAGGCAGAAAGCAAAATTGGCTCCTTTTTCGGAAGCTCAGACTGAGCCCAGAAGCACTGACATCATGATTGTGAGTAGGGAGGTGGCCTCAAGTTGGTTTGAGATACAAGTGATGCCAGACTGATTTAAAATTGTTAAGTGTGTTACAGATATGTTTTATCCTGACTGCAAATCAAGTTAGAGCTCCTCTGTCTTCAGCCTGACAGGTTCTTGGGTGTATAAGATCAGCTCTTCACTCTGTAAATGGGCAGTGAGTAGTGAAACTGGGAAGAGAGCGTTTTTTAAGTAGGTGATAGACTGTTAGTTAGCTGCACTTCCAGGCAGGGAAAAAGGAAAAAAGTAATCCTTTGAACTCTTATATTATTGAGGAAGCTGACAGCACAGGTCAGCAGGGTCTTTGCAGGATTAGAGGGGACAGGAAGCAGGTTTGGGCTGTGGTACTTTCAAAAGACAATTGGAATGCTTAGGGCTGTCAGGCTATACACAAAAAAATCCTCTGTTGCAGTTCAGGAGTAGGACAGCTGCCTGAAAACTGCTTCACAAGGGAGAAGAATGAAATCTGTCATAGCTCCCTGGCAGTTGTGGATAAAGCTTGGTAATTTTCTGTATGAAGTGTATAATCTTTACCCTGTTGCATGTTGTAATCAAGAGTGTTCCATTTTTTAAGTAAGGTAGCAATCAGGACTCACCTGTGTTTTGGAAAAATGATTCAGCGCTGTCTCTGGTGCTGTGCCAAGCCGAGTAAATGACTGCTGTCTGTGTATGGAAGGAACACATTTTTGTGTGCCTTGTCACAATTTCACAATCTGATTTCTGTCTCCATGGTGTTGCCCCTCAGTGCTCTTTGATTTTGAGTGTCACTGCATGTGTGACACACCTTCAGTTGTGCATCCCCCGTGGGTGCTGTGAGAACAGCAGGGTGACCATGGCTGCTGCCTTGCTGCCCTGTGTGCTAGTCCAGCCTCCTCACAGCCAGGAGGATTCCGTGTTACACGAGTCAGGCTGGAGCCATGGAGAAGGAGGGGAGTGTCTTCTTCATCCCTGGCCTGTAGAGTTGTTGGGATACGTTGCAGGATTTTCCTCCCTGCATGCAATATGAGGTGTGTCACAGTAAAGAGAGCCTGGCCTTGCTGAAGCTGTCACAGTCTCCAGCACCCTGTTATAGCTGTGTACTACTGAAGCAGAACAGATTGTGGTAGGTGAAGAATTGGGTATGTGGGAAGAAGGCAAAATTACTTTAATTGTGTGTGTCAAAATAAGCTCTTTGAAAGAAAATAGTCTCATTTAATTTTGTGCTAGACCACTAAAAATCGCTAAAGTCTTTGCATATCACGAAGAAAACAGGACCCTACTCTTGAGCTGATTTTCAGCAGACTGGTACAATTTTACAAAAATCGAATAATCAACCTATGGCATTCATCTGTTTTAAAATATACTATTGCAAGCCAAAGCCAACTAAATGGTGACATGATATCAACAGGGCATTTGAACAGATTGTGAAGTTCCTTTGTGTGTATGGGTTCATGCAGCAAAATGACTTAAACTGGGCTATGGAGACACTGCACAACGAGAAGAGTTAGAGTGGGCTGTGATTTAGCTGTAGAGAATTTGATGTCTCTGTCTTACTGCACCTGCTGCTTTAGAAGAAACTGGAGTGGTAACAAATCCTACTGCTAAGGAAGCATTTAAGGAAATTGTGTACAAATGGAATGTGTCTTGCAATGCCATGTTCGCCTGAATGGCATTGCAGTGCTTTTCAAAATGAAAAAATTGAAACCTCATTAATTAAGTAGTTCACTGTCCCTCTGGGATGGGGATGCTTTTGTTGCTTGCCATATCCCATTACATGAAAAATTCTCACATTTAATGATGTTGGTCATTTTGGAGTGAAAAAGACGAGGTGTTTCAAATAAATGGTGCGTGTGTGTTACAGATACAAGTTGGCGATCAGAAGCAACATTTCAGTTTACAGTGGAACGCTTCAACAGGTTGAGTGAGTCAGTGCTCAGCCCTCCCTGCTTCGTACGGAATTTGCCATGGAAGATCATGGTAATGCCACGACTCTACCCGGACAGACCACACCAAAAAAGCGTAGGATTCTTCCTTCAGTGCAATGCTGAATCTGATTCCACGTAAGACCCTTTTAATTATTGCACAAGTCCTCACTTGATACTGGTTAATCTATTGCAAGAAATACAAACATCTACAAAAAAACCTGCACCTCGCTTTCTGCATGAGGAGATAATTCTTGCAAGGGTTTGAGTGCCCTTTATCCCTCACCTTTCTAAATCTCAAAGCGTAAGAATAATCCCTTCTTTAGGATGAGCTAAAATCAGCTCATGTGAGTAGAAGTTTGTGGTAGAATTTAGATATATGCTTTCTGAAGGAGGAGTCCTTGACTGACAGTTTTCTTGGCATGGAAAAAATTCTGGGTTTATTTCAAGTGAAAGTGGAGGTTCTCTAGCCATGCCAAGCTATAAATGCTGTCCTATGAAGCGTGTGAACAAGTAACTGCCACCAGTGCAGGCAGAGCAGGGCATGAGTTCTTGCCTTAGGTGGAGTTCATCACTTATCCAGCAAGGTCTGAGCACACGTGTGCTCTTGGAGTCCTGCATGCAAATCAACATTGACTACCTTTGACCACTTTTGTAAATAATAGAAAAAAGAATTTAAAATAACTATAGATTTCTGGGCCATTCTTGTAGCTTATCCAGGAAGAGTGCAGACCTCTCAGGTGTCTTTTCCAATAGGGTAACTCCATTCTGGCACTGAATCTCACAAAACTTGTTGTTTACTCTGAATAATAAGTTGCATTCTTGATCATTTTTGTAATTTAGAGGTAAGTGCTCAGGGCAGAATGTAAAGAAAAAAAGTTGTAAGTGTATTAACAAGTCACAGGACGTGTGATTCAAATATTTACAGGAAAAGGATAATGTGATCTTCAGAAGTACCAAGTGGTGGAGCTAAGCAAGCAGTGCCACTGCCTGAGGCAGTGACAGGACCTTGTCTGAGCTGTGTCCAGAATGATTGCCTTGCACAAGTAGGGGGGTTTTTGAACACCAGTGGTCATGAAGAAGTGCTGCTGAGACAATTCATGTTGGAGAGTTTATCTTGTGGAAGGGAGGGTAGAAGCTCCTCATCCATTCCTTACCAAAGGCTGAGACCTCCCACTCCATAGGCACCAGGAGCACTTGGAGCTGGCCCATCCATGTGCAGAGAGGCAGGTCAGAACTAACCCACCTGGGAGAGCCGTCAGCTTCTTAAACCAACCTACAAGTCACTGATGCACTTCCTTGTCAACACTGCTGCCATAAGAAAATCTCTATTCCAGGTTCATAATGTGGCTTCAGAAAGCCCCAGAGGTTCATGCCCTCAGTAACAATTAACATCTAATAAGGAAAAAAATCCAGTGTGTAAAAGTAATGTACCGAAAACCTCTAACAAAAAAAAATAAATTATGTAACTACTATAAAAAGCTTGGTTTTGAAAGATTTTCAAGTGTTTCTTCTGTATTTATAGGTCATGGTCCTGTCATGCACAAGCAGTTCTCAAGATAATAAACTACAAGGATGATGAAAAATCATTCAGTCGTCGTATTAGTCACTTGTTCTTTCATAAGGAGAATGACTGGGGCTTTTCTAACTTCATGGCCTGGAGTGTAAGTAATGGACATGTATTAATCTATTGCTAGATAGGAGCGGTTTTGTACTTGTACTCCTGCATACTGAGATGCTGTTAGCAAAGGGCTTTTTCCCCCAAACCTTTGTTTTTTTCATCATTGTTGTAGATTTCTTCTCAATTTCTTACTCTATTAATATGATTTTTGTAGAGTGCTTTTACTTATGTTGTAATTTAAATATTCCCTCATTTTTATTTTCTGCCTGAGTGCTTGTGTTTTGTTATCACGGTGTGATAGTCAATGGCATTCTGAAGCAACATAAATTTTGCTTGCATTTCCTTATGTTCTTTGTGCATATGTACATGTATATTTAGTGCTCTAATAATACTACTAAGGTTTCTCTTGACTTGTGACAGTTTTTTAAGCATTTGTAAGGGTTTTGGAATATTGTCCAGAAGACGCAGAACATTTGATTACCAACTGTTACATCATTGAAAACTGAAAAACTACTGCACAATCTTAAAAGGCAGGAACAAGTTTCCTGCATTGAGACACTAAAAACAAATTAAAATGTAGTGAGCTGAAAAACAATTGCTTTGGTGTTCTTCAGTTTTTCTTCTTCAGTTTATTACTACTGATAGCTCAGGCTTAGAAATCAGAAAGTGATGTCTAAATGGATGTTTCACTGCAGTCCTGTTGCATGTTCCACTTCTCATGTTCCTGTGTCATTTGTGTTTTACAGGAAGTTACTGATCCTGAAAAAGGCTTTATAGAAGAGGACAAAGTTACTTTTGAAGTCTATGTTCAAGCAGATGCTCCACACGGAGTAGCGTAAGTATCTTCGATTAAAAACAAAGCAATATTTAGAATTCTTAATTCTGGTGTTTTTATGTTGTTTGGGATCATTCAAGTATTCTGTGCTACTGCCATTTGTAGCTCCCATCAGACATTCTTACTTTGTCACTGCTAGTTGATGAATTCTCACATGGCAATATTTTCATATTCACATAGAGTTTTGGATAGCTTAAATTTCTGTTTGCATCAATCAGCAAAATGTTGTGGAGCCTCAGCTTCTGTGTGAGTTGGTTTGTGATTTAACACCTCTGCAGTTCTGGCCTGAGCATTGGTGGTGTGGGAGCTGATAGGGTTTCAAGTGCAGCTGAGTGGCTCTGCTGTTGAACTTGCCTTGGTTTACAGTTGTTGCAAAACTGCTTCATCTCAGTTGTTCTCCTTCTTGGCACTTGTAAACACTGGGGTTGTACAGAGGTGCAGACTCAAAAGTACAGCTCTGAGCTCCAGGACACTCTCACAGGACATCATTTTCCTGCCATATAGAACATATTTTTTAAAAAAGTAATAGAATCACTAAGCATCTAATTGCAAGACTGTTGTTACTGGCAGGCAGCAGTGAAGTGTAGTTTGTTTGAACCTCCAGTAGCAGTGGACAGTAGCTGATACCTACCAGCAGCACTGCCCTAGAACAAACACTCTTTATAGCTGGAATACAGAACTTCCTTGTTTTTAACCACAAATTATTTTCTAGGTGGGATTCAAAGAAGCACACAGGATATGTTGGCTTAAAGAACCAGGGAGCAACTTGTTACATGAACAGCTTGTTACAGACTTTATTTTTCACAAATCAGCTACGAAAGGTAAGTAATACATGAAAGAACACGAGATTATAACATTGGCTGTTTTAATTAGCATTTATAAATGCTTCAAAACAGACCTGTGTAATCCTTTTGCCTCCTTTATCCTTTCAGAGGAGTTGTGACTTACATGGCGATACATGTCTTACTGCAGGCAGAGTACAGGAAGCTGCCTTTTGTAGTTTGTGGAACTGAAGCTTTTGTCTTCTGTGGAAGCAGGCAGAGCACCTGGAGAAGACCTGAGCTTAGGGGGTGTTTCTTTGACTGTTTTATGTGTTAATATTGTTAGGAATTGCTGGGGGCGGGGGAAGCAATTTAATCTTGCAGATAAAAGATGGAAGCAATTTCTCTTTTCTGAAATAGTTAAAACAGGGAATTATGGCTTCTCGGCCCATAATGCACAAAGATACACATTTGCTCCATCTTGAAATTCCTATTATGCAGCAGAATTTTTTGTTATTATGTTTGCCACCCTTGTAGTGACGGAAAGCATTGTATTTTCAGTAGTTTAAACAATGTAATTTTATATTTACTTTAGTAGTATTTCTTGTTTACTGTAGATGCTTTTTCTTTTCTGGAAAGAAAAATATATTCTTTAAATACCTTTTTAATAAGTATCTCATCTAAAGCCAGGATAAAATATACTGGATAATGTATAATTTTAAAATGATGCAGTACCCTTACTGGTAAGGGTAAAAATAGAAGTCATGGCTTGATGTTGGAGGTGGCTATTTAAAGGGGGTGTACTTGGAGAAAAAACCAGTTTGGCACTATTCAGTGTATTGGTGTTTCCTATTGATCCTAATTCACCCTTCTATGCATTTCTGCACTTAGTGTCTGTCTCCTAGTGAAAATGAGCTGTTCTTACTGGAGCTTTCTCTTATGTAGACTAGTTATTGCAGTTCAGGTAGTCTTTCTTTTCCCTTTTTAATGTACCTGCTTTCCCCTGTCTTTAATTTCCCACCATCTTACTATTTATATCCCCATGGCCTGTAAGTGTCCCAGTTGGCATTTCTTTTTTCTCTTTGCAATGTGCTGTTTACTCTGAAGTGCTGCAAAAAAAGTAACACCTCAAACTCCAATAGAATGTAACTGAGATCTTCCTAATGCCATGGACAGCAGATGAATACTTGACTTGTTTCATGTGAAGCACCTGTTCCTTTTTTGCAGGAGGTATAATTTACTCATTCAGTTTATCACTCATAATGCCTGATCTTTTTGCTCAGCACTCAATGTTTGTGCATTTTACTTTTTTTTGGACAACTTCACTTTTCTCTTGAGAGGAAAAAGTGTTTTTGTAATAGCTCCATCTAATGCAGTTGAGTAGTTTGTTCAAGACTGCCTTGTAGTCACTAAATCAATATGTACCATGAAGTAGTGAAGAAGAAATTATTTTTGTAATACAGGTTGGTTTCAACTGAAATAATCTTACCAGGCATTCCTGTGCACTTCTTCCCCAGCCCCAGAATAAAAGCAGCTTTTGGCATCTCTTAATATCTGGCTAGTGACTGCATGGGAAAAATTCATAGAGTTGGTAGCTGCAGCTTTCTTTATGGAAGTGTTCCTGGACATCAGCTGGAATGTTCAAATCCTTGCTCATTCCTCAAGCTTCCAGAGCCCCTCCAAACAGATGACAGTGGCAGTTTTAGAAAGCTTTAGCACTCATTTGCCATTGGTACAGATAAGGAAGAATCAGTTGTTGTCTGAAAAAAGTATTTTTTACATTTTTGTTTTCACTTTGCCCGAACTTGTGCCTCTTAAACCAAAGTAAAACAAAACACAACGTGCAGTATCCTTGGTTTGCTTTTCACCATTTCCATAATTTCAATGAAACTTCCTTCCTTGGAAGAAATAATGATTTCTGTGGCTGTTACTTAGAGCTTTGTTCACAGAGAAGCTGCTGTCAGGAGCAGAGCTGGGGAAGCAATGAACAATAGCAAAGGCAGGCACGTACCTATGGAAAGTCAGGCCCTGGGGAAGCGTGGGTGAGGATTGATGGAGAGGTCCTTTCTTCTCTGCTTCCAGATAACAGATGGGAGTTCTGGGGTGTTTGAAATGAGACCTCCCTTTTAAGCAACAAGAGGTGGCTTCAGTGGTAGGGAATAACAAAGGGAAATTTCATGTTAGGTCATGTTGTTATTTGTTTGTGACTGATAAATATGTGCTTAACTTCAGTCCAGTAGGCAAGGGGCAGTGGTGACATCCCAGTGGGGTCCAGCTTTGACCTGGGCTCTGTTACCAGAGTTGTCCCAGCAGTGTCCTTAGTGCCTTCAGCCCGTCAGTGCTTGTGGCTGCATTCAGTCCATTTGGGAACTTTTTGATGGTTCCCTTGCAAAAGTCTCTACAACTCATGAGAACATTATGGAATGCTTATATAAATATTAAAATAATTAATACTGGTCCATATCTCCCTGATCTGGCTCTCCTCAAGTTTTAACCAATATATTTTACCTAACCTTGGAATTTCATGTACAGTATTTATTTCCCTTCTTTAAGTAATACCTGCCTTTAAGCAATGTGCTCAAAGTTACCTGTACCATTCTATTGTTATATAAATATCTAAATTTTTTTCATATCTGTCAATATGCCTATACATGTCCCTTATCCCTCTTTTGTGTTCATTTCCTGAGGGAACTTCTCAGGTGTTAAATAAGAAACACTGCTTTTTTACATGGATCTGAATGCCTCACTCCTTTACCTTGAGGTCAGGCTTTCAGAATTTTGGAGGCTAAGGCAAAAAAATAAAGGTTTGAAGAGGATAATATTTAAAAAGTGTTAGTGTGGAGAAACACTTAAGAGAAATAAGCTCCAATATTACCTAAATACACAAACAGAATGTAGAGCCAAGAAAGGCTGTGTCAAATGTCTGCTTTGTCATAACACATGCAGAATTTCCAAAGAAATAAAACTGGTGTTTTTATTCAATGACAGCTGGAATGTAGTAATTATAAGTAAATTGTAAATTATTATTTGAATATTACTTGAGAAATATAGGAAGGGAATTAATTGTCCAGATGGTATATGAGAAAAACATTTTAAAAAATAGGAGCTAAAGTCAAAGGATTCGATTTTGATTAATTATCAAGATATTCTGAACTCCATTTTATGCATTTTTGATGGAAGAGTCAATCACAAGGCTGATTTTTAGCCCTCTGTAGGTTTAGCATTTTAGTATTTATTTTTTGAATGTATCAGCACTGACTATATTTGCATTTTTTCATGACTTGATTTTCACGCCTTGTTTCTATTTGTTTAAACATAGCAAGTATCTATATATTTGTGTTTTAAAAAAAGCATTTATAAGATGTTCAAAAAAGTTTGTAGGAGCTGATGATAGAATTTTGGAAGATCTGAGACTTGGTCGTTCAACTACTTCTGTTTCTACCTTTAGCTAGTGACACCCACTCTTAAAAAGATTTATAAACCAGGTACAGGAAGAGGTTTAAAGCTGATTCTTCAAGGTGCTGACTTGTTCTAGTGTTGATACTTTAGAGCAAGAAATTACTTTTGCTTGTGAAATCAAAGGTGATCTAGCTATCACTATCTAGCTAGTGATACTAGAATTTGAGTTTGCCCAGATCGACCTGGTTAACTGAGATTCTGCATTTGAATGATAAAAATAAAGCAATTGGAAATGATTTACTTTATTAGCTTATTTGAATTGTTGTGAAATTGAATGTTCTGATCTTAGGAAGGAAATTTTCATAATCAGTATGATCCAGCTTCACATTAGGATGTGTGGAGAGGTGGTGGAATCTCCATTCCTGGAGATGCTCAGAACTTAATTGGATCTGATCCTGAGCAACTGGATCCCATCTGAACCTGTCAGATACAGAGATCAGAACCTACAGGGTTCTCTTCCAGACTGCATCACTATAAACTCTTGAAGCAGTGCTTAACACATTAAAAAAGTTGAAGGTTTATTGACTTTCAACAGTTAAAACCTGTTGCCAGTGATAAAATTGAAGATACTTTTCTTCAATTTATAAAACAGTTTAAGCAAATCTCAAAGTACAGCAAAAGAAGACTTTTTTTATTGTCGTTAGGATGAGGTTGGGCTAGTGTTCTTAAAATTATCCTAAGAAAGACTTCTGTTGACTGTCCTTCAGAAAAAAGTTGATGATAAATTTCAGCAAATTTTTATTAATGTTTCCTTTTTATATGTGTAAACACTACTAACTAGTACTACTACTAGTGTGGTGTGCATCTGAGGAAAAAAAAAAGTTGGAAGTCACTTGTGTTCATGTTCTGTTTTGGGTCATCTCTATTAACTGGGAACTTCTGAAAATGAAAAAAATGTTACAATACAGTCATGTGAATTATTGTATTAGTTTAAAATTGCATAGTTAACCATTGTTTTTCTGTCAGAATATCAGGAATTTGCTTTCTTAATGAAATTGTTTATCTTATTTCATCTTACTGTAGCTATTCTGAGATATTCTTTATTCTTTGAAGTATTTCTGTTGCTGTACTTTTGGAAAATGTAGTAGATCCTCAGAATTGGAATAGAAAACTGACCTGTCAACACTTTAGGCACTTCTTTCGTTGTTTTTCTTTCTTTTGTCTTCAGCCACACCCTTGTATTGTTTTTGTGTCGGTGTTGTCTCTGTCTGGTGCCTGTCCCATCTGGTTCCCATTGCTGTGTTCTGAGCTGTCCTGCAGCAGGTTCTGGGTTTGCCCAGCAGTTCCCAGCTGCACTGCTGCCCTTGCTCTGCATGCAGGGAATTGGAGTCTGGGCTAAGCCAGATGTGCTGTACACCTCTGGAATTCTGGCTAATGCCCAGACTGAGGGAGAGACACTGAGGTCCAGTTCAGCACTTCACTCACAGAAATGGATCATTCCCTCTTGTTTCACAGGCAAAAATTCAGATGGCAATTTTTCCATTTTAACAGGTTCTTTCCTCATGCTTAATATTGGAATCTTTTTTAGTTTCATTAGTTGCCAAATCTCCTTCCAAGGTTGTCTGTTTCTTTTTATATTTATACTTTTTAAATTAACATCTCCCTTTTGTTTGCTCTTCCTTTCCCCTAGATGTATTGATGTACACTTTTTAAAAAGTAAATCTCATTTCAGTGACTATTGAACTCTCCTAAGCCCTGTTTGGTCTATTTGTGTAATTTCTTTGTTCCAAATCCTTCCCAGATCAGTATAATCAGTGAATTGAATTGTTAAGCTGTTTATTTGCTGGACAGTGATGACGTTAAGTAGGAATGAATGAATCGGGGACTCTCAGAGCTTCCTCTGACATCTTTCTCCATGTGGACCATTTCTGTTTTCGTTCACTTGTTGCCCATTATGTTTTCATGTGGTTGCTTTTCCACAAAACCAGTTACTTTTGAAAGTCTGTGGTATTGACTGGCATATCTGGTCCTACTGTGATGATTGCACAGACATACTGAGCATGAGAAGGGATTTGAAGGTGTTAAATGCTTTAGTGCATTTACTGTTCTAGGCTGGAATAAGGGAACTATTTAAATAAAATAACCATGAATGGAATCTGTTGTTCACATCTTTCTAACCGCTGTACTCTAAGACGAGTTGTTCCAGACAATTAACATTTTTACACTACAGTACAAGATTTTTTTCAGACTTTTTTGAAGTGTTGATTAAATTGAGTTCTATGAAGGAAGTCACTGAAGGGGAAAGAATGCATTAAACAGGATGAGCAATAAACTTTTCTGATACTAATTGAACTAAATGCTTTTTCAGGCTGTGTACATGATGCCCACAGAAGGAGATGATTCATCCAAAAGTGTTCCTTTAGCATTGCAAAGAGTGTTTTATGAGCTGCAACATAGTGACAAACCAGTTGGAACTAAAAAGTTAACAAAGTCATTTGGGTAAGTTTCAGAAACTTGGACTATTTATTTGACTCAGGCTTCATAAAGCTTTTCTTCTAAATGATTCTATTTCAATAAGGCTACTTTTAGAGGGGTGCAGAGAAGTGTTAATATAACATGGTGTTAATGGTTAAATTTCTGTAGTCGACTTGCATAGGTTTTTATTTGTAGCCAGTACTATAGACAGCTGGTCCAAAACTCAGAATTTTTGGGAAGGGGAATGGTACAGAAACAGAGCTGTTAAAAGCAGGGTTATAATTTAGCTGAACATTGTGTGATGCATTTGACTTAAGTAAAATTCAGAACAAAATAGTCATGGAAACATTGCAATTCATGTATTGTTAATGTCCTTAAAAAATGGAATCTGGTTTAGAATTAGTGCAATAGCAATAATTTGCATGTCCATGTTGTTGAACATTGACGGCTGCTGTAATATTTTCCTACAACGCATCAAAGACACAAGTTAGGACAGAAAGATCATCATTAGTATAACCTTTACAAGTCTTCTTTTTGCATGTCTTGTAAGTGTGGAGTAGGATTTTCTTAAAATCCGTTCTAAAATACTTTCTTTTGTATTACTTTGTCTCACTGTATTTATAGGCTAGTCTTGTACTACTATTGACAAGCACTGTTTTATTGCAAAACACATTTTGTGTCATCTTTTTCGTGCAGTTTTCTCGTGCTCATCCTGCATCTGCTGCTACAGCCTATAGTTATGCTCTGTCCTAAAAACACTCCTTTTAACCTTGTGTTTTTGCAACCTTGACTCTTCCCCTTTAGGGGAATCTTAAAAGGAAATTGGTAGTGTCAGTGCTATCTGTTTGTCTGGCTATACCCTCTTCCTAGTAGCACACTGTATATTTGCTTTATATCAGTGCTCCTGCTGCCCTGTTACAGGACAGGACTTGTTGATAGAGTAGATATTTCATCTTGAGTTAAGATCCCAACTGTGTCGTGTTCAGTAGCTTAAAGAGGCCTTTCCCAAGGGCGTTGCAGATGCTTAATTTCGTATCCAACAGCAGGGTTTTAAAAATGTGTTCATGCCTGCTTTGGTCCTTGGGAAATAATTTTAGGATGTGTTTGAAGATTTAGGTTTCCCCCTTCCCTCATCATTGAATCAGAGAGAGGTTTTTGGCCTTGTGAGCCCTAGGTGCTGGTTAGGGTATTACTTTTTACTGAATGTTAGGAAATTCTAGGTTTGACTTCTTCAAGTAGAAAATTATGCCATGTCTGAAGGAGCCCTTCTTTATCCTAATTTTAGTGTGTGACCTTTTTCTTTGGTTTGTCCTATGAGCTGGCTAATGTTTAAAGCCTAGAGAGTCAGGGCATTATTTTCTATTCTTAATTATCTGACAGGTCACTTGATTCAGCTTGTTTAAGTGTGGACCCCACACAGTTGTTGGCACACTTTGGAGATTAGTTTGCTGCCGTGTGACAGTGGGGGTGAGTCACTGAGAAGAGAGTGGGAGGGAGGATAAAGTCAGCGCTGCTCCTGATCACCCTGCTGCTGGCTCCAGGGCCAGGGTGGAACATCACACTGAAGCTGGAGCTTACAGTCAATAGAGTTTATTTCATACAGTCTGCAAAAAATACTGTCAGAGACCTAGAACTTAAAAAGCTTTCTTGAGTTGAAGTTACAGTTCTCACAGGTGTGTTTAATTCTGGAGCTAGAAACATTTTATGCTTCTTGTTTTATTGAAGGCAGGAGAGCTGAACACCCTTGTTGCAGTGTGCCATGCTGGTTATGAGGCATTTAGATCCTGCTGCCTTCACCCCTGCTTTCACACCATGTGTTTGCAATGGACAGTGCAGAGAGCTGAATGCCTCCTTGGAGTTACTGCATGCCCAGGACTAACTGTTTAGATGCGCACAAAGGAGCCAGTCTTTGCTATAAATCCATTTGCTTCCTTTCCTGTGCTCCCTGAACACGTAATCTGTTCAGGGAAGTAATCCCTGAACACGGCTTAACTGCACCTGAAGGGCCCTTGCAAGAGAGGCAACTGGAAACCTGCAGTGGAAACTGATGGCATTGAATTGCTCCCAAGCCTTTATTTAAGAGGTTTTTTGGCATGAGCTGAGAGTGGGCTGTAGACTGGAAGAGCAACAGCCTGCCTGTGCCCTCCACAGCTGGCTCTGGGTGCCTTTGCAATCCCTGCCCCAGCCCCACACAGGAGCAGGGGGCTGGGCACAGACCAGCTGCCAAAATGTCCCACAAGGTCACTGCCCCTTCTTCCTACCCAGCTAAAGAACCTGTGCATCAGCCAGTCCTAAATCTCAGTCATCTTGTTGTGTATTACATTCTTGATCTGCAAAGAAATCAAAAAATGTCTTTTGAGGTGTTTCTTTTCTAGTTAGTAATCTTTTATTTATTTGCCTTACAAAGGTGGGAAACTTTAGACAGCTTCATGCAACACGATGTCCAGGAATTATGTCGAGTGGTATGTTTATACTATTTCTTGCTGATCTGTGATGTATAAATTTCTCATGATATTCTGTATGTGTATATATATATATATAGATAGATAGATAGATATATAGATATATATATATATATATATTGGGTCTCAAAGGCAGAGTTTTTGCCTTGGTTTCTCTTTAAGAATGGGATTGCTTGCGACCTTTTGTGAGTGAGGAATTTGTAAAGAGTAGAAAAGCTTGAAAGTTGCTGGAATGTGTGCTAGTAGTACATTTATAGCCATGGAGAGAAATGCACTTTTGGAGATGAAATGCACTGTTACATCTGGGGAGCTGTCCAGACTCAAAGGAATGGAGTAGTTGGAATAGCCCTCAGTTTAGGGGGAAGAGGAGGATTTAAAGGACTAGAAAGGAGATGCCTGTACAAATAGATGGACATTTCATTTTTGTCCAAATGACTTAGCCTCTAATCAGTTAAGTAATCATGTGTATATGATGAATAAAATTAAAAACTGCAAGTTTATCTTGTGTAAAAACTGATTTTTTCTTTCAGCTGCTTGATAATGTGGAAAATAAAATGAAAGGCACGTGTGTAGAAGGCACTATCCCTAAGTTGTTCAGAGGGAAGATGGTGGTATGTATTTTATACCTTCTCAAAAATAATATAGATTAGCTCTTGTTACTTCTAGAAAATTGAACTTCTGTGTTGTTTTGGTTTTGTTTCCAGTCTTATATCCAATGCAAGCACGTAGACTATCGATCTGAACGAATAGAAGATTATTATGACATCCAGCTAAGTATAAAGGGAAAGAAAAATAGTAAGTGATACACTGTGATATGCACTAATCCAGTACCTCAACATGTTGGACATCTTCAGTGCCTGATGTTTTCAAATGGGTTTATTGGTGCACAGTGATTGGAAATATATGCTTTAGGACAGCTTATTGAAAACATTTTCAATGCAGAGAATGTTTTTGCCTGCATTCCATTTCCTTTCCCTGCTCCTTCCTTCCTAATTCTCTCACTGGTATCTTTTCATAAAACTCTAGAACTTAAGCGGTTTTCTGGGGTCATAAAACTGTGCCATTGTGGTCACAGTGGTATTGTCACAGTAGTTATAATTTATATATAAAGATGAACTTGGATGAAATAGATTTTTATTTAGACCTGGCCATAGTAATAAGAAATAAAAAACAGATGAACTGCTCAGAACAGTATAGCAGTGGTCCCTTATCATCTCTTTACTGAGCACTTGGGGTCCAAGGCACAGGAGAGGATGTGTACAGTCCAGCAAACAGAGGCATCTGGCTTGATGCTTAACAGAAGTGAGGAGCTGTGGCAGACAGCTGTAACTGTGTGATTTTAAAATCTGCTGGTACTCTTGGATATGCCTCTGCAATATGGTGCATTTCTTGACATTCTTAAGCAATTGAAAACTTGACTTAAAGTAAGGACAGAAATATTCAAACACAAACTCCTCTGTCCTAATACTTCATTTGATTAATACATTGCAGGCTAGAATAAACTTACACTTTTTCCTCCTTCTGTACAATTCCCCAATCTTTTTCCATTCAGTTTTTGAGTCCTTCATTGACTACGTTGCAGTGGAGCAGTTGGATGGTGATAACAAATATGATGCAGGAGAACATGGCTTGCAGGTATTCTATTTTTTTTTCAACCCGGTTTTAAATATTATTTCTTTATCCTTGATAAAATAACAATGTTGCAAAACCCATTCTAGATTTTATCAACTGATTTTGGTGATGTTTCTTCTTAGACAAGTTTTTATATAGCTCCTCTTATTTCTTAAAATGGAGCTCAGATTTTATAGCAGTTCAATTTGTAGTGAGTTTTATAGGTCCAAGTCTTCCAGTTCTAGAATCACTCACTTTTCCACCAATCTCAAGACTGAGGTGTTCCTCTGTGAGTAGTCTGTTCTTCCCTGTGTCAAGTGAAAATGCAGCATAGCTCTAGAAGTAACTTAGGAGAGCTCATGCTTGTACTCTCAGCAAGAACACCAAATGAACTCATGGAAATTAAACATTTATCTGTGTGCACATGTTTCTGAGCTCTTCAGTTGCACTTTTCTGCACCCACTGGAGTAAGCTGAAGTCCTTTATAAATAATGTTTCACTAAAGCTTATTTCTGCAGCTTTGACATACCAGGTTTTGTCAGTAATGTTTGATATATTCTTTAGCTGTTCTTGGCAGAAGAGCCAAATCCTTGTTGGCAGGATGCAATGGACATGAAATTCTTAATTGATCAAAAATTATCTTTTGCCTCCATATTCTCCCAATTTTATTTATGCAGGTAACTTGCTCTTAATGCAGTGAGATGTCCACATACGTTTGTATGAGTGGCCTAAATTTAATTTGAATTCTTGTGTTACTGGAGTAGCTTATGGGAGATTGGTGCAGCATTAGGATACTCAAATTGCAGCCAAGTTTTAAACCATTCTGGTGCACATTGTATCGTCAAGTCTATAATAAAGTCCATATGAAAGTGTCTGCAACAAACAAGTATTCTGAGTTGCTAAAAAACCTGCAATTTCAACCCTCTATTTCCTTTAAAATGTCTAGGAGGCAGAGAAAGGTGTGAAGTTCCTAACACTGCCACCAGTATTACACCTACAGCTCATGAGATTTATGTATGATCCTCAGACTGACCAAAACATCAAGATAAATGATAGGTAAGTGGGTTGGCTGGTTTAGTGTGTGGGTTGAGTTTTTTGGTAGAATTTAGACCTGTGAATATATTTTACCAAAAAATAGCCTCCCAAAATCCTGGTTTTGACTAAACTCTGAGAGGCAAGCGTGTGGAGTGACACACAGTGGAGGTCCCCTAAAGGAGCATGGGTTGAACGTTGAAATTCAGAATGACAAATTGAATGCTTGGCAATTCATAATGCTTGTTTAGAGCGTGAACAGCTGACTGCATCTTCGAACGGCTTGTGTAGCATTCTTTGTGCAGTGTGTGGCTAGGCTGCCACCAGAGAAAGCAGGATGAATAAGGAGTTAACCTGCTTGCCCTCCATCTGTTTCCATGGATGGAGTGAGAGTCATTTGCCCACTCACTGTAAGAAGAGGCTGGTAATTTCTCGAGGAGATACATGGTTGGTTGTAAACTGAATGTGTATTGCAATTATCTCATTATCACCAAGGTGAGGTATTTCAGAGTAATGTTCCAGTCCAGTGGTACCTGTGCTAGGAAAGCTGCATTTGTCTGCTAGAAAATAACAGATTTTAAAGCTTTTGCCTTGATGCAGTGAATCCAAACCAGCCCTAATTCAGTTGAAGTGCTCTTGCCCTTGTTACTGAGGGCATACTTTCCTGAGCTGCTGGAAAAGTTTATTTTTATTCCATATTTAAACAGTATAAGTTCTGCCACTGTATGCAGCATGTCCTGGATAGAAATGACATTGTAACAGTAATATGTTCAATTTTTATACTTTGCTTTAGGAGTTCGCATAATGTTCCATAGTAGTACATAATAATGTGTGTCTATCTTAACTACAAATACAATTGTCTTAATTCTTTTCAAAACTAGGTTTGAATTTCCTGAACAGTTGCCACTAGATGAATTTTTGCAAAAAACAGATCCTAAAGATCCTGCAAATTACATTCTCCATGCAGTTCTTGTACACAGTGGAGATAACCATGGTGGACATTATGTTGTTTACTTAAATCCAAAGGGCGATGGCAAAGTGAGTATTGAAAAGCACCTAAAAGTTTTTGTGTTGTAAATGCATACTTGCAGTTTTTGTAATGGGAAAATCTTCAGAATTTTTGTCCCCTAAAAGAAGAGTGCATACACACTTGACTTTTAACAAAAGACTTTTTAACTGAGGAAATCGCTTCACTTGTGTGTGTGTGTGTGTTGAAGTTGTTCTGTAATCAGATTTTATCCAGCATTTTTTTGAGGCTGACTTTGCTGAAGCAAATAGGAGCATTTCCAGTGTTCCTGTGACTCAGAAGTTCAGCATGTTTGTGTGTGTCCCACTGTTCCAGGTTTAGGTGACTTGATTGGATCGGACATTTATAGGTCAGGTACCTCTTCCCTTGAGTTGACTGGTTTTGTGTGTACATGATTGTTCACAGTAAGAGTAGAAGTAAGATTTTATTGTGAATTTGTTGCTATTTGTAATGTATTTTTAAATTTGCTTTATTGTTTTAATTTAAAATTTGATATATATTACTCTAAATGTACAAAGACTTGCTAGATGTCTTGTGTTATCACTGCTTTTTATTTAATTTTACAACAGATAACATCAATTTTCTGTTTCCTACAGAAGTACTAGACATTAGAATATCAGTCTTAAGAAAAGCTTCTTGGAACAATTATTATACTTTTGGTACTTACTGTAAAATGTTCAGTAAAGGTTTGGTATTTATGGACTTCCTTATGCCAAGCACAAGTAGCAGGTAGCACAAATTATACTGAACTAGATTTCCTTTTAAAAGTCGTGCCGCTTGAAGGTAATTTTAGTTACTTCAAAGAGCTGAAAGACGTGCCAGAAATAGGATTAATTTATCATTCAGGATCATGTTTTTACATGTAAAATCACCTTTCTATAAAACTTGCTCCCTAGTGGTGTAAATTCGATGACGATGTTGTGTCGAGGTGCACAAAGGAGGAGGCGATCGAACACAACTACGGGGGGCACGACGACGACCTGTCCGTGCGGCACTGCACCAACGCCTACATGCTGGTGTACATCAGGGAGTCCAAGCTCAGTATGTGTCCTCTCTGTGCTCAAAGGGGCCCTACAGGCAGGGAGGCAGGGTTCTTTTACCTCTGAATTGTTGGCAGTGTTCCTACAACAGGACTGTGTTAGTTACAGCCGGAACCTAGAGATCCCACGGGATCGACCAGCTGCTCTCTCACTTTTGGAAAGTATGTGCTGCTCTGGGTCATCTTTTAGCTCAGTGAGGCACCTGCAGAGTGCTTCAACCTTGGCTGGTTTATAGGATGGGAAACTTTGGGAACTGACTTTGTAACGGAATCAAATCAGATTGATTGTAAACATGTAGACACATATATGCTTTAAAAATGGAGTGGTGGCAAGTATTTTTTTAATTCTGAGTTGAATATTTCATTTGGAAGTCTGTGATATATATTTCATAGGAAGTAGTGCATTTTGGCATGGAAATGGTTCTTTTGCCAAAGCATGATGATAACAAGCCATGTTTTTAAGTGAAAGATGAAGAAAGCTGGTTTTGACTTGAAATCAGAGGGAAGTCAAGTGTGTATGAAAAATAACCTGTTTGATGGAAATCTTGAAATAACATCATAAAATCTGCTTTATAGGTGAAGTTTTGCAGCCTGTCACTGACCATGATATTCCTCAACAACTTGTAGAAAGGCTACAAGAAGAGAAAAGGATAGAAGCTCAGAAGAGGAAGGAGAGGCAGGAAGCTCACCTCTATATGCAAGTGCAGGTCAGCTTTTGAAACAGATTAAGTTATGACTACTTTACCATGAAAATTTCGAATGTTGAACCACCCTCGAGGCAAACCTTGATTTTCTTTTTTTTTTTTCCCCTTAAATTTTGTTCTGAAGGAGTGTTTGAAGAGAATTAAGATTTTAGTGCTTTTAAGTGTATTTACATATGCAACGAATAGTAATAAAACACACAGTATTGTATGTTATAAACATTTCTGTTTTCTTTAGAATTTATTGTGCTTGTGAGTAAAAATAGTAAGTTCAGGTGAAAGGGAAAAAGACCAGGTTATTCCAAATGCCTGCCCTGCCACTGCACTTTTATCTCCTTCAGGAATTATTTTCTAAAATTAGAATGTATCTAGCCATAGGCTGCAGGTCTGGACTGTTGCCAAACTGAACTCATCAAGTAGAAGCAGAAGGAAAGATTGCTTATATTTGCAATTATCTTTTTGGAAAAGCCAGATGGACTGGATTGTTATGAATTGCCTTAAGGAACCCTGTTTATGGCTCTTTCCAGAGCCCATCTGGCACAGGGAAATGGAACCCATTTTCCATGTGCCTCCGTGTTTCCTTGCCTGTTCTCTCTGGTGTTGATAAGCAGAGATACTGGTGAAGTGCAGTTTGTTCTGCACTGCATTTGCACTGAGTTTGCAGTGGGACACTGGCAGCGTTGCACTGTTTGTGCTTCTGTTAACAAAGAGTGCAGGGAGCTGTGGGAAATACAGGGAGAGGGTTCAGTGGCCTCCTTGCATTGCACCAGTCACAGAATTATGTTGCCTTTTCATTTTCTCCAAGTGCCAAGATTGTTGGAACACGTTCCAAGACTTGGGATCTAAGCACGACTGGTTTTTAATTGTTCGGTATTTGTAAGAATTAATGTATTTAATTACTTGCACTGATGAGATTATCAATCACGATTTTTTAATTTCATTATGATCTGTATTCTTGCAAATTTGCTCCCTGAGAACATGAATAGTGTTAGCACTGTGCCAGAGGGCCAGTGAGGTTGCATAGTAAAGCATCCTGAGAAGGTATTACGTGGTGCAGCTGGGCTAATCTGAATAGTAACCTTTAAATGTCATTTTTCAGATAGTGGCAGAGGATCAGTTCTGTGGTCATCAAGGCAATGATATGTATGATGAAGAAAAAGTGAAATACACTGTTTTCAAAGTATTAAAAAACTCCACACTTACAGAGTTTGTTCAAAACCTCTCTCAAACAATGGTGAGTTTTCTGTAGCTGAATACCTGCATGTATTTATTTTGTTACATTATGGTTCTTTCATAGCCCTTGCCTTCTCCACATATTGACAGCAATCATAATTTGGACCTTTTAACACAGAAGATCTGTTTGAGTTTAATAAAAGCATCTTAACATATTTTTCCCTTGTTTTGATTTAGTTTCCTGTCACAATTTTTATTTATTTTAGGGATTTCCCCAGGATCAAATCAGATTATGGCCAATGCAAGCTAGAAGTAATGGAACAAAAAGACCTGCAATGTTAGATAATGAAGCAGATGGCAATAAAACGGTAAGTAGTCACTGAGAAATGATACTACTTCTGTGCATCTCCCATGGTTTTTAGTTCTCTTTAAGATTATCTAACTTTGAGACACAAGGTTTTTCAGGCTTTTAATGTAAAATTAATTATATTGTTTCTGGTGAGGTTTGATACTTGGGAAGACTTGGTGTTTAGTGGATTAAATACCCTTGCCATTATAAAGGTAGCTGTAGGTAAACTTCCAAAAGATAAAGAAGGGGGTTCATTTTAAGCAAAGCCTACTGTTACTGCTTCATCAAAGTTTTTGGTAGTTTTATATCTGTATTTTTTTGTTTTAATAAATTTCATAAACTTCCTTTAACACAACTTCAAAAAAACCTCTCCTACTTGTAGAATGTCATAAAGTTCTTGTATCTGATTAAAATGCAGATACCAAGTTGTATTATGTTCTTCAGAGGCTTTTTTTTCTCTTCTCTCCCACCTTTCTACATAGATGATTGAGCTCAGTGACAATGAGAATCCATGGACAATATTTTTGGAAACAGTAGATCCAGAGATGGCTGCTACTGGAGCAACATTACCCAAATTTGATAAAGATCGTAAGCATATGGGCTAAAACTTTCTAAAACACAAAATACTTTCATTTTGGGTGTATCTCCAAAAACACTGTGCACTCCTTTTTTCAACAATGTTTTTGATCTATCCATCAAACTAATACAGTGCTGAAATTAGTTTTTCTCATGCAGTTTTTCCCTCATTTCTATTGAAGTGGAAGACATGCTTTGCATGTTTTTAGACTCACCGAATAAATTTCTCTATATTGTAAGGGCACTTTGATTTATTTGAATTAATAAATCAAAGACACTTATTTGTTACTGTGTAAATAAAAACATCTAGGTGATCTCCTTCCCCCTCCCCAAGCCTTACTTAAAATTAAATGTTGTTTTTTTAATTTGTAGATGATGTAATGTTGTTTCTCAAGATGTATGATCCGAAGACTCGGAGTTTGAATTATTGTGGACATATCTACACCCCTATATCCTGTAAAATACGTGAGTTCTGAATTTCAATTTCATTGTAATCATTGAAGTTTTTAAAGTAGATTGAACAAACTTCTCTTTAATAATAATTCCATCACTGAAACCAAAGGTGTACCACAAAAGCAAATTCTTATTTCACCCAACACCTGAGTTTTCTTCCCCATGTGGTGTCAGTGATATTTTCTGCAGGTCTGACCCTTGAAACCCCACAGGTGGTGAATTCATTGTTGCTGTACTCACCAGGTGTTACAGCTGTTTCAAACCTGTTGTAAAGCCTTGGGATTTGATACTTCCCTCCCAAATAGCTTTTCAAATACCTCAGCTCTTGTACAACCTTTCACTATGGCAGCCTGAGCAGCTGCTCAGCCTGGATTGCATGTGAGCCTTGATTTTCATACGGGTCCCCATTTAAGGAATTCAGCAAATACCCACTGACTAAAAATATTTTAATTTTTCATTTTGAATGTCTCATTTTGTTAACTTATACATATTTTTTAATTTTGTATTTTAGCTGTCATTAATTTATTTTTTTTAAGACACTAAACCTTTTCTGTGGGGAAGGAGCAGTGTTATTTCATCTCTTGGATTTTTAATGAACTTCCACATATTTTTGTTGTTCATATGAAGTGGAAGGAAACAATAAATGTGTGTCTGGTTGAATGTCAACAAGAGAAACTTTAATGTGAAAGGCTGTCTTTCTTAGGCATTGTAGAACCATCTACCCAGGGTGAAAAAAGGGATTCTCTCCTTTCTGTGGTTGGTCTCACTAGCAATTAGTGCAACACATTTCAAATTCCATTTTTTCTTTTCCGACAGGTGACTTGCTTCCAGTTATGTGTGAGAGAGCAGGATTTCCACAAGAAACTAACCTTATCCTCTATGAGGTTTGGACTGATAGACTTTTTGTAACTTCTTTGTCTTTTACATGCTGCAAAGAGAAAAAAAGATTTATTAATTTTAAGAAGTTTCTCCTAACAATGGTAATCCATAGCTTTGAGGTCTACAGTGCTGCAACAGAGTAGCAGCAGAGAGTTAACTTCAAAACAGATTTTATATTAAACAGATAAGAGTGTAAAGCTTTAAAACCAAAAAAATAATCTCCATGGGGTCCTACATGAGCAGCTTTGGTTTGCTAAATCTGTGTTGCTGAGTTAGAGGAGTTAATGCTGCAGACATTATTGGCCATCGTGTTTTCAGTGCCCACCTTAGTGAAGTTGAGAAAATGTTCTCCTTCCTTCCCCAAGCCAAAGTCAGCAAACAAAATCCTTAGTCTGCTATGATGTTTCTGCCCAAGCCATGAACCTTTATAACTGCTACATTTATTGAGTGCTGATGATGCAGATCTTGCCAAGGCAAAGTCCTTGCTAGAGTAAGAATAAGGAATTGGGTTTTTGTTGCAATTTCTGCTGGCAGTCCTGCTGCTCTCTCTGGTGGTTCCAGGGCAGCACACGTGCTGCTGTCCTAAACAGCAAAGCTGTACTGCTTGCTCTGGGCAGGTCAGGATTACAGTGTCATTCCAGTTTGTTTACACAAGTGCTTTTATCCCTGGGTCAGCCCAGAGGTCAGCCTGCTAGTATAAATATGTAATATGCATATAGATATTTAATAATACATGCATTGGATCTGTGGAGATGCATATCTATCCATTTGTTTCACTTAAAAGAATGCACAGGTTACATTATCTGATGATTTCTTCACTATTGTGATCTTTATTTTTACCTTTTATTTTGTGATCAAAAATTTTTGTTCTTCATTGCAGGAAGTTAAACCCAATTTAACAGAAAGGATTCAAGACTATGATGTATCTCTTGATAAAGCTCTCGATGAACTCATGGATGGTGACATCATAGTGTTTCAGAAGTATGTATTTTAAGGGGGCACCTTATTGAAATTAAATCACCTGGTTCACTTTGAAAGCTGAACTTCCTTTAAGCTTCTTTATCAAGAGCAAAGTATTGCATTCCAATAGTAGATGTGTGCAGTTCTCATTTGTTTATTCAAAGGGGAAATGAGCAAATATCAGTGGTATTCGAGTATCACGTGCCACATTACTTAAGGACAAGGTGTCCTCCTAGTTTAGAAAACCAATAACCTAAAATAGCTCATAGTATTACCAGAGAGTATACACCAGAGTGTGTTCAGCAATGCGTCTGATCTGTGCAGCTTTGTACTGGAGCCACTGTAACGCAGACACCAAAGAGCCTTCAGATCTTGGGCTCAGTACCATGGCCACTGGACAAGGCTCTTGGAGCTCTTTCAGCTCAGAATTCCACTAAACTGCTTTCCCTTTTTGCCTCTCCCTTGTGCTCACAGTCGGGTCCCTACTGGTCTGTGGTGATGAGGTGCTCCCAGTTTGCCTGAGCACGTGCCACTCGTAGGTGTACTGGTGCTTCAGCTGGAGATTTCTCCAAGGCAAAAGGGGAGCTCCTGCATCTTGTATCCGATAAAGGGATCTTTCATAAGCTTGGCAGGGCTATAAATCAGCATTTCTATGCTCTCACTCCTGATGGTCACACCCAACTGTGTTGCTCTGTTTCTCTCCATGGGCTGACAGTGGGTGGAAGCCAGCTAGTCTATCTTCAGCACTCTTACCCCAGATTATGTGAGATGAATGTATTTCTCATGTCATGCCTTGGAACTCGCATTCCCAGTTGACCCAGTTGGTGTTATGCACCCTTGCCTGGCTGCTGACTCCTGGGTAAGTGCACAGCTTGTACCCTGGTGCTGTTTCTCTGCAGAGAAGTTGGGGTACCAGTCAGGAGTGGCCCAAACCAGCCCCTGTGCCCACTGTTCTGCCTCTCTGTGCCAAGCGATGTTGTCTATCCAGCCTCTGTGCAAAGTGATATATACAGGGGCTCATGGAAAGCTGTGCAGCATTAGTACAGACACACAGGCATGTGCAGGGTGGGAGGGAGGGACATCTCCTGCTGCAGTGGTGCTGTGAACCCACAGGAACCAAGAGTAGGGCCAGGCTGCCCAGGGAGCAGCACAGCAGGTGAGGGCACCGGGCCCTGGGTCACTGCTGACTGCACCAGTCCTACTGTGTACCAGTGGTGGCTCTTGCAAAAGGTTTCTGAACTTCATCTCTCTATCTCTCCACTGCTGCTGACCTACTGTAAAACATGTTTTTAAAAGCCCCAACTGCCTGTGTGTGTAACAGTGTGATGTGTAATGATATCATCGTTTGTTTTCTCTTGTAGGGATGACCCAGAAAATGATAACAGCGAGCTGCCAACAGCTAAGGAATACTTCCGAGACCTCTATCACCGTGTGGATGTCATTTTCTGTGATAAAACCATCCCAAATGACCCAGGCTTTGTTGTTACTTTATCCAATAGGATGAATTACTTTCAGGCATGTGTCCTGTTCCTCTTTTGTTTCCTTGTTTGGAAAGTAACTTTTGCCCTAGTTCACAGCTGCATTATACATACTTGTAGAAAAGTTCTATAACTGCCCATGTACATTTTTTGTGTTTTGTACATTTCATTTTAAATGAAAAATTTAAGAAAGCCACTAAGGCTTGTGAGAAGAAAATACTAGAAACCCCCCAGTTTTATTAATAATGAGTTATTTGATGATCAGGTTCTTTCTTGGTAGGCTATTCTGCTCTGTCAGGGAAATGATATTCTCATGAAATTATGTACTTGCTTTCAAAGTGATACGTAAAACTCGCTCAACATATTTGGCTGTTAAAAGGAAAATACCATGGGCATCTAGTGATTACCTATTGCCTGTGATATCACTCTTTATTTTGTAGATCAAGTTCTATTGCTTTCTTCACGCAGTGAAGTGCTCAGTGACAGTAACAGATCAAACCTATTGTGTTGGTAATAGATGGGTTGGGGTGTTTAGATGAGGAAGACTGGACATGAAAACATAAAAAAAAAAAAAAAGAAATAAAGTTGGTCTGATCTATTGAGAGCCTGAGCAGATTTGACTCCCTGCAGTTCTCCAGCAGTTGCTCTTGTCAATGTCAAAAAACAATCACTAAAAATCAGTTTTATTTTCTGTCCCCAAAGGCAGAAAGTTGGAGCATCTGCATACAGGGAAATGTCAGGGATGAGCTTTGCTGTACTGTTCTCATCATCTGTTTTTAGGCCTATTGCTCTCTCTTACTTTTATTTCACTTGAAGTGTAAGGTCTGTGTGGTTTGAGGTTTTTTGATAAGACAAAACCAAAATGCCCCTGCCTTTTGTGAGGCAGTGATGTGAAGTGTACTCATGGGAATAATGTGTTGTTACTACTCAGCAAGCTAACTAACATGGAGCAAATTAAAGGAGTGAGAATCTTCAGAGCAAGTCATACTTCCCTAATACTATAATTTAAAAAAATCAAACCAACAGCAAAAAGCAACCAAACAACAAAAACAAGCAAAACAAAAATGGAGCAATTGTTGTGGATTTAGTGGCCTTTTGGCAACACTAACTTACTGTAATAAAAGTTTCCTCTTTTTTTTTTCCTTAGAATATCTTATTCTGTGTCAACTGTTCAGAAGTTAACAATACTAGTTTATTTAGCCTTAGGGTGGTAGGCAAAGTGGGTTTTCTCAGAATTCCTGTAGCATAATGTTCCTGTCATGGAATGAATGACTGTATGATTGTAGAGCAATGTCATAACTGTGTGAAACAATTCAGAACTTACCAAAAATTTATTTTCAGGTTGCAAAGACAGTCGCTCAGAGACTTAACACGGATCCAATGCTATTACAGTTTTTCAAGTCCCAAGGGTAAGATGAATTCCTTAGTTTTCTGTGTCTAACCTGTTCCTCAAAAATTAGCCTTTTCCAGGTCATTAACTAATTCTCTACCAGTAAGATGTTACCTTTCCAGCAAGCACAGCAGGTTGCTTTGACAGTTGAAATATTGCAATGTCTGTCTCTAGAGCCTCAAAGAATTGCATGTTTTATAAATTTAAATGCAGGAGTTACTTCACTGAATTCCCCCCACCTCCCTCAAAGTCTGCAAATGAGGTTTTATGAAGATGTCAACAATCTAACAAGTTCACGGGTGCTCAAAGGGATACTCCTGGTTACAGTGTCAGTTTTACACAGGTTTATGTAAAACTAGATGTGAATCTGTATAAAACTATAGCAGAAAACAGTGTATTATAGCTCTGTGTATGTGCTTTAGGAATAATGCACACCCAAAACTTACATCTTTCTGTATTCATAGAGGTGTAGATGTTCTTTAGTTACCTGAGGCTATCTGCCTTCATCATCAGTGAGAATTTGAGTAGCTCTTTGTAGTTTCCAGTGCTGTGGTCACTGTGGAATTTGCTGTGTCATATGGCTCAGCAAATTAACCTTTCACAATCTAAAGCATGTGCTGCTATGCCAGTAATTTCAGAGGAATGTAGGTCTGCCAGCCTGCAGCACGGAGGGTGAGCTTGTAAACATCCAGGAGAGTTAACACACACCCTGAATGGTTTTCTGTTCCCACAGCCCAGCTGTGTTTAAAAATCACTAAAGTTCTGTGTGTTGTGCTGCTTAGGCTGTGTTAGCAATTATGTGAAACTAGAAGCCAGTAATAAAAATGCTCTTAGTGCTTCAATTTACTGAGCAGTGGTGGATTTTGAAGAGATGGATTTTAAGAACATGTTTTCTTTCCTTCTGTAGTTATAGGGATGGCCCTGGTAATCCTCTTAGACATAATTATGAAGGTACTTTAAGAGATCTTCTGCAGTTCTTCAAGCCTAGGCAACCGAAAAAACTCTACTATCAACAGGTAAGAGTCTTCTTTTTACTGGGATGAGCTATAAAAATAATTCTGCCCTATTCAAAGTATGCCTAAAGTGTTTTTCTTTTCTTTCTTAAGCTCAAAATGAAGATAACTGATTTTGAAAACAGAAGAAGTTTTAAATGCATATGGCTAAATAGCCAGTTTAGGGAAGAGGTGAGTGAAGCCATTGCACACTTGCTGTCATTTCTGTGTCAGAGCTGGTATGCCTGGGTCACACACTCTTCCCCTGAGTAACACAGAATTAGAACAAAGTAATACATTATGTAAAAAAATCTAACAAAACAACAGCAAAAAAACTCAAAGAGAACCAAAAAATGTAAAAAAAAAATTGGATCCGTTAACAAAAATTTTGAAGATGACATAGGTGTTGACTTAAATTATCTTCTCAAGATGAGTGGTGAAGGAGAACAATCCAGTGTGTTCTGTGCTTTTATGTGGTTGTTTACATTTTCAGATTTTCTAGTGATTTTTGTGTTTCAAATTCCACAGGAAATAACAGTATATCCAGATAAGCATGGGTGTGTGCGGGACCTGTTAGAAGAATGTAAAAAAGTTGTAGAACTCTCTGAAAAAGGTTCAGGGAAATTAAGGTAAAGCTGGAAGACTGTGATTTCTTCTATGTGATTGTGTAAATTTTATGCAGCAGAGTATCTATAGAATTTAAAATACTGTATAAAACATTATTAACAGATTAAAAGTAAATGTATTAAAAGCTTCCAGATTGCCACTCTTAAGGGTTCTTCTTAACTATAAATATAAATTTTACACAGTTATTTATTTTTTATTTAATAAAGTTACATCCTTGAGTTTCATCAATTGCATTTGTTAGTCATGACTTATTAATTGTTTAAAATCCAAGCATTTCTTGCTATTCACTTCTCAGGAGTTACAGGGGTAAAAAGTGTGGTCATTTAAAGAGGATCTATAAAATTATCTCCACTAGAAATCTATATTTTGTAATGGCACATCCTGGCTTTTTGCCATGAGCTAGAAATAATTTAACCTCCTATGGCTTTACTGCTTGATTTTTACAAAAGATTGGATTTAAAATTTTATAAATACAATAGCAGCATCAGTTTAAATTCTGCACTAATTCTCTTTCAAGGTTTGAGAAAGAAATGTTGCATTGATTTTTTTTTAATTAACTTTTTAAAAATGCTTTCCCTGTTTATCTTTAAGGCTGCTAGAAATTGTAAGTTACAAAATAATCGGTGTCCATCAGGAGGATGAGCTGTTAGAGTGTTTGTCACCTGCAACAAGTCGAACGTTTCGAATAGAGGTAAGCTGTTCTTGTCTTAGAGGAGCTTTAAAACCTGACTTTGAGAGAAGAAACTGTTTCAAGTGGTGTTTTTTTTTTCCTGGGTCCTGATCTTCAAATACTGTGATGTTTGTATAAAATTACATGATAATATTGGGTGCTGATCTTCAAATACTGTGATGTTTGTATAAAATTACATGATAATATTGCATGCATTTTTAAAGATAATGCTTTAAAAAGATCATCTTTTGTTCCATCTGCTTCCTTATAATGGTTTCATTCTTTCATTTATACATTTATTCTTATAACAATATATGCAAACTTTGCAAGAGCCTGCCCATAGAACATTTAATGTCTTGGCAGTAATTCCAAGGTTTGTTCAAGAGTTCATAATAGAAATGTTTATGCTTAGGACCCACTTTTGTACTCTAATATTCTAGAAGGCTTTGTTTCCTTTTCTGTTACAGCTGAGGTTCTCAAGCCAAATTTGATCCTTAACATGTGATTTTTTTTTTTCTAAACATCATCATTTAGATCTGCTAACCTGCTTCAAAGATCAGAAATATAAAAAAAAAAGTTTCCAGTGTAAACTGTAATGAGGAGCTGACAAGAGGCCTGTGTTATTGTCTGCTAGTACTGCACTGATAGAAGATTTCTTGTCAAAAAAGCCATTCAGGGAAGCCAGGAAAATATTTCCTGAGTAGGGGAAGTGCTGTCTTGCCAGGGATGAGGGACTTTGGTAAAAGACTCTGTCAAACAACATGTCTCTTTTAATTGTTTTTGAATACAACTGTTTGAAATCAGTAACATCAGTAATGTTTCCAGTTTCTTAATAACTAGAAAAAAAACTTCAAAACTTTAGTTTCTTTTTGTGGAAGTTTAACTGATTGGAGTCACAATTCTCTGTCTGGATCTAGGAAATTCCTCTGGACCAGGTAGATATAGACAAAGAAAATGAGATGCTAATCACAGTGGCACATTTCCACAAAGAAGTTTTTGGGACGTTTGGAATTCCATTCTTGCTGAGGATACACCAGGTGCAGTATGCCTCTCTTTTTCTCCCTGTGAGATTATCCTGATGATGGTTTCTTTAAGTACTGCATTAGTGTAAGAAGTGTGTAGGAAAATACACCTCTTGTACCAAAGGTTCTGCCCCATCTGTGCCTTCTATGGTTAAATCATTTCCCAGCTCAGTTCCTTTTGCATGTCCAGGTTGTTCTGTGTTTCAGTGAGCCTGTGCAATACCTAGAAAGCTGGCATTTGGCAGCAGCTGTCATCCCCTGCCCCCTGCAGAATTTCCTAAGAAACCAGAACCCTGTTTCCAACAGCACTTGAGTAACTGCAGTGCAGAGTTGCTGGCAAAAGTGGCCCTGCCATGGTTGCTCTGACTGAGAGATGATTATGGAAAATGGGGTTGCTTTCTCCTTCACTTTCTGAGATGACTTTGCATTTCATCCCTTTTGTAATTTGATGTGCTTTATCTTCTAGGGCTGAAAGTTGGTACAAGAACAAAAGCTTATTTTGAAAGCTTAATTTAAATTCTCAAGTTTTTCTGTGGTGCTGCTCCAGCTGAATGTCACCCTGATTCTCTTAATACCAATATGTATTTCTGGGAGCAGTTAGCCATTTGCTTCTAAACTTTTTCTGGTTCATGTATGTTACTTTGTATGAAAACTACTTACTTTAAAAATTTGGGAATAAGAAATATGTCCATATCTCTCTACCTCTAGAACTCCAAAATTAGAATTCTACTAATTTCCATATTTTTGATCAAAGGGTAAAACCTGTGTGGTGATTATGGAAACCATTTGTTCTGCATTTCCTTGTTATGACAGTTAATATATATTATTCATCTTTAAGTTAATGGTATCTGTCACTTTTTTTGGCCAGTGTACATAGAGAGGGAGCAGAAATATACTACAAAAAGTAGTAATATGCTTAATAAGAATATAAGGTTTTTTACAAATTCCTGTTTTGCTGCCAATTTTCTAACTTTGCTACTTAACTTTAACCTGACTTGCACGTATCAGTGGCAGTGCCTGGCCAATTAATGTGGCAGTTTGCATAATGATGAACCAGTAAGACTTAAAGTTCCTGAGTTTAGAGCAAGTTGCCTGCTGTTGTTCCATATTGTAGAGAATGATGTTGATACTTGTGTAATTTTGTAAATAACAGAGAGATTAAGGCAGTGTTTTTCAATGAAGCTTAAAGCAGGAAATACTAACAGCTTCCCTTTTTTTTCCTAGATTTTTTTGACATTAAAAATCTTGTTGTAATTATTAGGGTGAACACTTCAGAGAGGTCATGAAGCGGATTCAGACAATGCTGGACATACAAGAAAAAGAATTTGAAAAGGTAATTTCAAATTGTGAGAATTTTTACTGTTGACTGTGAACCCTTAATTGAGTTTATTTTAATAAGTTGCAACAACACAGACTTGGGTAAGTGTAGATTTTGTGTGATAGAACAGCTGCTTGACTGAAATAATGCTTTTTCTAGGACTAATTAGTTAGGATGAGTAGGATCAGTATTTCTGTACTGCAGCAAGAGAGATATTCTGCAAAACATTGAAGTAACCCAGAAAAGTGTAGCTAGTGTAGGACCTTTAGAAGCCACCCCCACATCACATTCCTACTCAGAGCAGAACGTGACTCAGTCAGGTTGTGCAGGGTTTTTCAGTTGCAATTTGTAAACTCCCAAGGGTGGGAATTGTGCCCTGTTCTGGACACTGTGTTTTAGAGCCTTTCCAGTGTCATTGGGAAGGCTTTGCTTTCCTTGCACGTAATCAGTTCCATTTTGCAACTTGTGGAGGTCACCTCTGTGCAGTTTCTTGGCAAGAGCCTTGCTCCTGTGTACCATCCTTCAAGTGGTGGAAAACTATAGATACCCTGTCAGCCTTTCCTTCTCTGAGCTAAACAGAATCCATTTCCCAGAGGTTCCTGAATGCCAGGTTCCCCCCCAGTCCTCTCACAGTCTCACTGGACTGTTGCTGCACCTGCTGCAGTTTGTTGTCTTGTCTTTTTTCCTGGAGGGCTTGAACCTAGACATAGTATTCCAGGATGTGAGTTCATGATTTCCCAAACATTTATTTTGTCCCATTATTCAGGTAGTTGATGAGGGTTTTAACCAGGATTAAACCCTTTTTCAACCCCTGAAGAATACTACCAGCTGCAAGTTAGGCTGTGAACTTAGGCTTGAAGACTGTATTTCAATGTCATATCCTACCACTTGGTTTTTGTGGTTTTTTTCTTTGCACAGTTTAAATTTGCCATTGTAATGATGGGCCGACACCAGTATCTCAACGAAGATGAGTATGAAGTGAACTTGAAAGACTTTGAGTCCCAACCTGGTAAGTTGTTAGACAATCTCACTTTTCTTTTGGCCTGCTGAAGTTGCCCTGCCAGTTGTTATAATGTGTTCATCCTTAACCTAGGATGCAGAAAGAGTTTGTTCTTTTTACATGACATACATTAGATGTAGTGACTAAGCAAGTATTTATATACACCTGTGTGCACACTGAGAAGTATTACATGAATGTGTTAGTCCACGAATATGTATTTTATAGGCATATAGATAAATAATCTATTTCCCTTTGAGTTAAAAGATTGCATGTGAATGACCAAATGGGTCCAGTATGAGTATAACACACTTTGTCTTGTGTACCTTGTCTTTATTGTCCCTTGCATGTTTGATTTTCATGGGAAGTTAATTCTTGTTTATTCTTGATGTTCTCAATGAATCTGAAGATTCTGACAAGAACATTAAATATGTCAATTAGATTCTGTTTAGATTTTTTTTAACCCCTAAGAGATGATTCACCAAGGTACAAATGTGGCTCCATTCAAAATTTGTCTCTGGCTGGGCTGCTGTCTTGTTTACTTGACTGACGTTTAAACCTCTATTTTCTTAGACATTTACACATGGGAGAAACCAGGTTAATCCTTCAGGGTTCCACCACAGGAGTGTTTTCATAGTCATAGAATGGTTTGGTCTGGGAGGTGCCTTAAAGACCATCCCATTCCACCCTGCTGCCATGGATGCTGCACACCAGACTGGTCTCTCAGGGCCCCATCAAACCTGGCCTTGGACACTTCCAGGGATGGGGCAGCTACAGCTCCTCTGAGCAACCTGCACCAGTGCTTCTAAATCCAAATCTCCCCTTTTCCTCTTTGGAGAGTTCTGTTTGGGAATGACACCTTTGGATCCACAGTCAGGGATCCATTGAAACTCTTGAATTCATTGGGGTTTCTTCTCCCAGCTTAGCCAAGTGTTCCTCTCCATGAGTTGCACCGTATCTCTGCAGTTCCATTTTTCTGACAATTAGGAATTCTGGTTTTTATTGGTAGGTTTTGCTAGGGTCAGGCTTTCTTCAATTTTTCCCAGCTGTGCTATGGATTGATGTAACAGTTGTAAAGAAATCCTGTAACTGTCCATTTATCTCAAAACCTGTGGAAAGTTAGACCTGTGTTATTCCTGGGCACATGTGGGAGCCTAGCAAACAGTCCTTTTGTTGTGTACATAGCTCAGGTAGGTTGGTGGCTTGCCAGAGCTGTGAGTGCCTGCAGCTGCATGAGTCACCCCAGGGCCCAGGAGTGTGTCACTGCAGGACCTCCCTGCACTGCTTGTGAAGAGGCTCTGGATGGCCAGCTTGCAGGTGGACATTCCTCCACAGACAGATAAACTCTTGTGTGGTCAGAGCAGGCAGCGTCCTGATTTTATTCTGGGAGTCATCCCTCTTGGGTCAGGGAGGGAAAGGCTGGAATATATGAAATAGTCTGGAATGAACCACTGGACTTGGTGAGCAAGGCAGGGCCATTGGTGCCCAAACAGCTTGAAAAACTAACCAGGTGACCAGGTCAGAGGCACAGAACATGTCAGAATGTGGAAAAAGAGAGAACTTGAACTGTGTGTAGGAATTGTAGGGAATGTGAGAGCAAAAGATTTTCATTTTAGAGTTCACAGGATTCAACCCTGTGATAGAATATGTTTTGAGAGAATTAATTTCTACAAAAGCCAAATTTTAACACATGCTGGACTGATGGAACCAAAGCTGTGGCATTGCCCAGTTTGATAGGCATAGGTGATGTCAGTGTCCCTCTGCTTTTGCCAAGGTACACTAACTAAAGCCATGACTGTGCTGGCACCAACCATGTAGGATCTCTTCAGAAACATTCAAATTCTCCCACTAAGACTGGCAGTTCTCTTTTAATTTGATATTGACCATTAGGTCAAACGGGGGGAAAAAAACCAAAATAATTTTGATTGAAGAAAATATATCACAAAATGCAGATGCAGGCAACCAAAATGGTCACATGTTTTATGCTTTAGTGGTTACAGCTGATGGCTTTGAATGTAGAATGTATTTTCCTTGCTGGGGGCTGCTTCAGTTTTTGCCTTTATCTTTTCACTTCAAAGAATATTTGATGCTCTGCTCTGAGAACATCTTAAAAAAGAATTTCTCCCATTTTCAAGTATGTGGATTGTGGTTTTTCATGAAAACTAGGAGTAGAATAAATAATATTGGGTTGAATAAATGAAAAAAATCTGTTTTTCCAAAAATATTTGCTTTGAAATCTTAAGTGACTAGGGTTTTTTCTTAGAAAATAAAGAGGAGAGTCAGTTTCATGATTTCTTAATTAGCATTATTTGCATTTTACATGAATTTAACAGATATTCCTGCTTAAACCAGGTGACAGGAATAGCAGAAATTATGACAAATACTGTTGGTTGTCATGTTTCATTGGCAAATTCCTCCCTGCTTGAAACAGGCTCAGCATTGGTAAAAGCTGATACTCTGATGTATCTCTGGCTATAACAGTGATTATTTTGCTTTAGCACACCCTTCAGTGCTGTAAACTCCTGCAGGTGACTGAAGAAGATAAAAAGCAGGTGCCTGATGTGGAAGGAGCTCTGGAATGTGCTGTTGGAAGGAAATCCCTGCCCTGCTGGCTGTGGGGCTGCTCTGCACTCCTCTGCCCTGGCCCTGACTCCCAGCAAACTGTGGCCAGGGCACACAGGAGTAGTTTGTGTAATGGAAACACTTTCCCAATTGAGTCTTAAAACTTCATTTTTTTTTTTTTCTCTTTTCTTTTCTAGGCAACATGTCTCATCCAAGGCCATGGCTAGGGCTTGACCATTTCAATAAAGCCCCAAAGAGAAGTCGCTACACTTACCTTGAAAAAGCTATTAAAATCCATAACTGACTTACTTAACCAGATTGTCAAGGCAAGGGACAAAAATAAGTGTGTGTGCACCTTTTTAACAACTGTAGAACTTTGGTACACGTGCACTATATCTGAAGTCTTCAGCAAGAGGATTTGCTGCTGATGTTAATTTTATTTTGTTGAGGCTGTTCAGTTTGGCTTCTCTGTATCTATTGACTGCCCTTTTTGAGCAAAATGAAGGTGTTTTTATAAAAGCTTGGATGCCAATGAGAGTTATTTTATGGTAAACGTAATGCAAGGCAATTGTCAGCATAATGAGGGAAGAGTTTAGTAGAACAGTTGACATTGGCAAAATTATTTGTCTGTAGTACGTTTATAGATGGCATAAGCTGACTGGCTGCCCTTCCCATGTGGTGTTCACCATCACTGCAGCTAGTAAGTCTTATGTTTAGACTCACATCAGATTTATTTCCTTCAGTTATACTTTAAATGACATTTTTGTGCATTTGTAAATGCAAAAGAAAAACTCACGTCATCAATAAATAGCAATCTCTACTTCATTGTGTACATTGTTGGCACTTATTCGGGATTTTTGTCTCCTCCAGCTTCATAGAATCTTTTTTAATAAACTAGTTTTCATTTAATTTAGTCAATACTTTGCATCCCGTTTTGCCAAGTGGATGCCCCGAGTCCTAAAAAGAGATATTTGGGTCTTTTTATTAAATTTCCAACCATTGAGAAATACCGTTGCAATTGATTATGCCATCTTCTGGCAAATAGAATGACACTCAAAAGTTGGCAAAAGCAAGTGAAAAGATTATAAATATCATTAATATAGTTACCATGGGAAGAGATGGGGAAAACACAAGAACTAGCCTTTTAGCACAGAGGGCATGCTCACTAGTGTTTAGTAAGCTGTTGACTTTGTATAAAAAAGGAGGAAAAAAAACGAAAAAAGAAGAAAAAAAAAAGAAAAAAGAAATTGTATATTTAATGACTGAACATGTACAATTTAACACTTGGAGGTTAATTTTATTGGGTGAGTCTGCAAGTGAATTTCACTGATGTTGATATTCATTGTGTGTAGTTTTATTTCAGTCCCCAGACTGCTTCCTTTTCTTTGGAGCTAATGCCAGCCGCGTGTCTAGTTTTGAGTGCAGTAAAGATAGAATCAGCAATTCACACTTAATTTTACATTCTTTTCCAGTATTTTATTTTGTTTCTGTAGCCGCAGTGTACAACTCCTCTTCCTGTATATTGCCTTTTTTTGCTGGAAAATGTTGTATGTTGAATAAAATTTTCTATAAAATTTTTTTCGATGAGTGATGACATGGACATTGAAGAAGATTTCTCCTCCTCTCCTTGGAATTAGAGTTTTGGGAAACGTTTTCATTCATGAGATTTTGCTAAAGGTGTGGTTTTCTTTTTCCTTAAGTGTTGACAATTGTATAATCCTCATTGGTTGTATTGGGAAAATTTTGTGGGGGTTTCTGTTTAATAGTTTTGGGGTTTGGAGGTTTTTTTGGGGTTTGGTTTTTTTACGTCCTAGCTAGTCACATTTGAGCTTAACAAATAAAAGGTTTTCCAGGAAAGGAGCCATGTACAAAAAAAGACAAATGGAAAAATTATTTTACTAGTTTGTTTGTAAAGCTTGTAGTAGAGTCTTTGTGGTAGACTGGACTCTGCCTGCCTGTACAAAATTTTGTGGTCCAGATTCTCAAGTCTAATATTATAAATGGTGTAAAGTGAAATCTGGAGTCCCTAAAGGTAAGGTCTCTTCATAGAGTAATAGATTCCCTCTGTAATGTGTTCCCTGTATCCATAACCAAAACAGAAGGTGCAAGTTTCTAGGTATGTTTGATTCTCTCTTTAGTTTGTATCTTGCAGAGCTTTTGACTGTTTCTTATTTCCAGTCAAGGCAAACTAGTTGTTTATTTTGTTTTGTTGTCTGAGTGTGTAGGTTAGCATAGAGGGAAGTGCTTAACTGGCATGCCTTAAGTGAAGAAAACTTTCCTTTGCTTTGCATTTCCATCAGGCTGGTGAGAACTGCACCATCCCAGGGATGGTTTTACTGGTACTTGCATTGTCTCTACAGGCTTTCAGTAAATGTCAGGATTTGTTTCCAAACTGTTTCTGTGAATCAGAGCTCTGGTCAGCAGTAGTAAGCCCTAATTATATTAAGTGTTGTTTAGACTGATATAAAATTGAGCTTGTATCTGAGTGTCACTAAGTTTTCACATTAATTTATGGGATGGTGGCAGCTTTTAGGGACTATCTTAAGAAACACAATCCTTCCTATTTCGGAAGAAAAAGCCACTAACAGTAGGTTTTGGGTGCCTTTTGGGTTTTAGATGACTGGATTTTATGTGCTTCAGTATTTGTGCTATTCCCACACTAGTTTGGTGAAGTCCATACTTTGAGGCATTCCATATGCAGTTTTCAATTACTGATGGATTTCCTGGGGAAAAAGAAAAAGGTTTGGAGCACAATAACTTGTTAGTCAAATGTGGAAACACCTATCAAGAGGAGGACAGGAGGGTTTCTCAGGTCCAGTATGTTTGCTTAGTTCACTTAAAAAAAATTACAATGGAAGAATAGAGTCTTCAAAATTGCCATGCTTTCCGTTTCTTTATTCAGATTTTGGAATTATCTGGATAATAGACAGTGAATACATTAAACTAAGGTAATGGTAATATAAGTGTTAAGCAATAAGGATGGTACATGGTACACAGCATCAGAGCAACATGTTGTTAGCGGCCCATCCGAATTCTCCCTAGGAAAGTAGAGCGTTGTTCCTGTAGATTTACATAGTGCCTTTTATCCTAAAGGAGTCCAAAGCATTCTGTGAAATCTGAGCAGATCACACCAGTGCTAGTTGCTGACTAGAGAGTGACAGCCAGCCCCAGCCCCCTCCACCCGCCCAGGCTGGCACAGCGACCCCGACAAGTCCGTGCTGCCGCAGGACGCGCCAGGGCCCGGCCGTGGCCTCCCCGCAGGACGAGCAGAGCGAGTGCCTCCCGCATCCCGGATCTACCTCAGCTGCTGCCCTCCGGAGCTCCTCCAGCGTCCCCGTGCCAGCGTCCCCGTGCCAGCGTCCCCGTGCCAGCGTCCCCAACCCGGCCTCCGGAGCTCGGACCGCGCGGGCGCTGCGCTGGCCGCGGGCACATCGGAGACACGCTGGGGGGTTGCTGTTTGATATCCTCTGTGAGAAATCGTTTTCTGTAGGAACTGTACATACTGTAAATAAAACAGCCCAGGGTAAACACTGCATTGGTGTCTTGGCTCTTCATTTTGGAGAGGAGTGGGAGTTACAGCTCTTGGTCACTCAGAACTCGGAGAGATTTTGGTTAGATTGAGTAGATGAAGTTTACAAAATTCAGCCAAATGGTGTGTCAGGATTGGCATTAATAATGTTGAGTGTGCTGGCCAGAAGGTAAATTCTGACTTGTGTGTCAGCTTCCATGTTGTGAGCCCTTCTTTTTCCTGAAACATTTTGGTATTGAGGTGGAGGGTTTGATGTCAGAGCAGCAAGTGCCATTTATTGTTTGCTGTTAAACCTGCATGGTCTTCGGGGTCAGAAAAAGGGGGAAATACATGTGATGTGTCCTAATCTAGCTCCAAATCTGTATTCTATTTAACTTCTGCCCCAAGTGATGTTGAAGTTAGCTGTATACCAAGCACAGCAGGAAATTAAATTTGCTATGGCTGGATGCCTTTATTTTTTATTAAATAGTTGTGCAAAAGTGTTGTGCCTATAAATAGTGGTGTAAAAACGTCCTGACTACTTCTGTTAAATACCTCTTGCACATCTCAAGTCATATTGATATAATTTCTTTGCTGTGTGTGTATTCATGTGGATTTGGGTTTTGCACCTTTCCTGATTAATGTCACGCTGACTTGGTGCATTATTTACCACTAATTAACAGCAACGTTTGTGGTTTCACAGCCAGATTTTAAAATTAAGAAAAATCTTAACATCCTAAAAAAATGTGTGAATTGGTGACGCCTGTCGTGCTGCCATCTGCGTGACTGCCTTTAATCCTTGAGGGTTTGTGACCTGCACTAGGTCACAGTAGGCTGGGTGAGCAGGGCAGGGACAGCCACCGACCTTGGTACGGAGGAGTGAAAGCTCTGGGGCAGCTGCTCTGGCCACGGCCTGGCTGTTGAGGAGGCTGGGGGGTGTTGGCTCCGGGTTTCATGTAGGGCTGGGAAAATCGTCATTTAACAGTTCTTACATGTCTTGATTACGTTTTTTCACATCTCACGGTCTGAAGACTGGGGTTCCTGTGGTCTAAAGACTGCACTGATGTGGGTGTTGAAGTAAAAGCCAGCGCCTATGCCCAGCCTAGCTTAACTAAACTGTGGGATCAGCTCAGTGGGGCAGTTCGTCATGCAGACTGTGACAGCTGCCTTGGGGTGACAGGGCTGCTGGGCAGTGCTGTTTCTCCAGCTCATTTCTACAGTCGCCTTCAGCCCCGCGGTGTCACAGCGGCTGGCCCTGACCTGGCCTCGGCCCGTGTCCCTCACCCTTCCTGCTGTCCCTGTCGCTGTCCCTGCCCCTTGCCCCGTGTCCCTGTCGCTGTTAGTGGTCACTGCAGGGACAGGACAGTGGTCACTGCAGGGACTGGGCAGTGGTCACTGCAGGGACAGGACAGTGGTCACTGCAGGGACAGGACAGTGGTCACTGCAGGGACAGGGGCAATGGTCACTGCAGGGACAGGACAGTGGTCACTGCAGGGACTGGGCAATGGTCACTGCAGGGATGGGGCAATGGTCTCTGCAGGGACAGGGGCAGTGGTCACTGCAGGGACAGGGCAGTGGTCACTGCAGGGACGGGGCAATGGTCACTGCAGGGAAAGGGGCAATGGGCACTGCAGGGACAGGACAGGGGTCCGT